TGGGCAGTCAAAATGCCACATTTTGGTAACTGTCATGTGGTTGAGAGTGAGAGTTCCCGTCTTGTCCGAGCAGACGACATTGACAGAACCAAGAGTTTCAACGCTGGGCAGTCTTCGCATGATCGCTCCCCTCTTAGCCATGCGCAGGACGCCGAGAGCGAGCGTGACAGTGACAATGATAGGCAAGCCTTCTGGGATCGCTGCGACCGCCAGCGAAACACCGATTGTAAACATTTCGAGAAGCTTACGACCTTGTATAAGACCGATAACCACGATCAATCCAATGACAGCGAAAGAGATATAACTTAGCTCCTGGCCCAGACGATCCATGGACAGTTGTAAGGGTGTTCGAGGGCTCTCAATTTCTTGTAGCGAAGCTGATATACTGCCGAACTCCGTCTTGGCGCCGGTCGAGATAACGATGCCCTGGCCGTAGCCTGAGCGGACTAGTGTACCCATGAACGCAACGTTGTGCTGCTCGTTCAACCGAATGTCAGCACCGACAGCACCGGTGGCCGGCGCGTCGTAGAACGGAGATCGAGGGGGTTCTACTCCTTTTGGCGCTGAAGCGGTCCCGCCAGATGTCTTGCGCAGAGCTTCGGCATACTTCGCTACAGGCTCGTTCTCTCCAGTCAAGTTCGACTCGTCAATGCTGAGATCTGTTGCAGCGGTGATTCGAATATCGGCGGGAATACGGTCTCCGGTAGTGAAAAGAACTAAATCTCCAGGTACAAGTTCGTTCGCGGGGACGGTTGAAGAAGCCTTGACCGCGGCAGACGCCGAGCCTGGGCTTTTGCTCCGTATTTCATCCATTTCCATGGATGAACCCAGGGGCGACGTACCGCCATTCTCAGTTGCCGCGGAGGAAGATGTTGGAAGGTCACGAATCAAATGGGCGTAATGGGGTACAAGTCGGCTCAATGCTTCCAACGATTTTTCCGACCGATACTCTTGAACAAAGCCAACGGTCACGACAATTGTTACCGCAAGAGTAATGCTGATGGCATCGTCGTAATTGCCCATCACAAAAGAGATTCCAGCAGAGCCGAGGAGCAGGAGAATCAGCGTCTCCTTGAATTGTTTAAGGAACCGCAGCCACAGGGGCTCCGGCTCATCGTGGGGAAGCTCGTTCGGTCCATCTCTTGCCAAGCGTATCTCTGCCTCAGCGGGTGTTAGGCCGTGTAAAAGGGAGGTTCGTAGTCGCTCGGCAGTTTCATGAGGCTCGAGCCACGAATATGTTGAGGTGGATGTCTGGAACAAAACAAGACCGCGTGTTAGAAATTCAATTGTCCAACGGCGTTAAGAAGTGGAGGAAGTATATCACATGTAGTACGTAAATTAAGTAAGTATACGTACTGACGATGGTGCGCTTGGCCGTCCGGTCACGGGTGTTGTGGAGGGAGGCCGAAGAAAGTCGGTGTTTGATGCATTATGCAAAGGCAATGAAGGTGTTGCGGACCTTGACATTGCTCATGCTTCGCAGGATTGATTATTAAAGACGATGAAACAAGATGTCAGATATGTTGAGAAATAATTTTCATGCCGTTGCGAATTGAGTATGCTTCGGCAATCCGCGTTAGATGCGATCTGGCAGCAGCTTCAAACGGGGGCGGCTAGACAAACTGCTGGATTTGCGGAGTTGGCGCAAGTAGGTAGACGACGAACAAGGGACCGACAGATGAGTTGGGACCAAAAATCCAATTTGAAAACAGCGTTTTGCTATAATCCAAACCGCAAAATTATCCCATTCAGAGCATCGAGTCCAGGCTAAGTCCCATGATGATGCTTTACCCGTTGTGGCCTAGTTATTTCGGGTAGGGAGTTTATCCGATCACTATATTTAGACTAGCGCAAGGTATCACGTGTAGGGCAGAGTATACGATGTACTCCGTGACAGCATTGATTTACACAAAGGTTTCTCATATTTTGGGAAGTTTCCTCGATGCTCTCTTTGCCCAAATCCAAGACTAGCTTTTTCACTAGCAAAATTCATTATTGTGATACTCATACGGAGTACTAGGCTCTGGGATTCCTTTGTGTACTCTACACGTGACTCGACATTCCCAGCCCCCTCAATTACATCAGCAAAAATCCCGCCCAGGCCATGCCCAGGTTGCTACCTGATATTCCCACCGACGCGCATCTTCCGTTCCTCCTGGTTTCTCAGCCAACCCCAAGATATCCCTCGCGTGCACATACCCTCCCCATCTTCATCGTTTTCGATGTCTTGAATTCACGCGATAGAGTGATAAAAATTTTATCCTTTTAGTCCCATATCTACCGTTTCATAACAATTATTGAGTGCGAGTCATCGCACAAGTCATTGTTTTCCCGGCTTCAGCGCGTCGCCCTTCTACACCTCACCCCCGCGCCGGGCGGGTCTTATCGCCTACTGGTTTTGGTGAAAGACAATTTCGCTGTTGTAAAGTATCTCGCTGCGACAAATACACTATGTTCTATTCCGAGACTCTCCTGTCGAAAACCGGGCCTTTGGCTCGCGTTTGGTTGTCGGCTAATATCGAACGCAAACTTTCGAAGTCGCATATCCTGCAGTCGGATATCGAGAGCAGTGTCAATGCTATTGTTGATCAGGGTCAAGCCCCTATGGCTCTGCGGTTGAGTGGCCAATTGCTGCTGGGTGTGGTTCGAATCTATAGCCGCAAGGCTCGCTACCTCCTCGATGATTGCAATGAAGCTCTGATGAAAATTAAAATGGTATGCACTCCTTTGGATCAATAGTATTTGGTTCAGTCTAATCATAAATCAGGCTTTCCGTCTCACAAACAACAATGACATGACTTCGACTGTCGTCGCTCCAGGTGGCATCACTCTTCCCGATGTGCTCACTGAATCTGACCTTTTCACCAACCTTGATACCTCTCTGCTCTTCCCTCAAACGCTCGACCTGGAGCCTGCTGCTAAGCGCCCTGGTGGCATGGATTTTGGAAGCCAATTCCTCCCAGACAGCAGCTTCCGCCGCTCTGTTTCTCAGGAACCTGCACGCCTTGAAGACCCTTCCCTTGTTGATCTTGACTTGGGTGAGGATGAATTGCCCCTTGGAAATGACCCAACTATGGAAATTGGTCGAGATGCTCCCGCCCCTCGTCCCGTGGAGGAAGATCTTTTCAATGATGCTGGAAAATTCAACGACGACGACGATCTGGGACTGGACCTTGGAGATGATGAGGCCCTTGACAAGATGGACCTTGGTGATGATGTCCATGACAATCTGAACGACCTACTGCCAGATGGCCCCATGGACTTCGACAACGATGGCGACTTTGGTGGTAGCGAGATGCCCCGTGCTGTCGACAACCGATTCGCACGTGACTCCGAAAGCCCTCTTTCTGACGCTGGATCCGATCAGATGAATCAGCTGGAAGAGGAATTTAACCGAGATGTATCTGCAACCCCTGATGCCGTTAGCGCCCAACAGGGCCCGCGCGCCAAGCGCCAGAAGCTGATGGGACTTGACAAGGAAGTCGCAATTTCCAGCTCCAAGATCAAGGAACAGCAAAATGACCGTTCTGCAATTTTGAAGCCCGCATCATTCTTGCCTCGTGACCCCGTCCTGCTCACACTTATGACCAGACAGCAGAATGGCAACTTTGTGTCTAGTGTGTTTGGCGAGGATCGTGGTCGCGGATGGGCGCCCGAGCTACGTGGCATGCTATCTTTGGATTCCGTCAAGAAGGCCGGTGAGCTGAAGCGCAAGCGCGACAGTGGCATTTCCGACATGGATGTGGCTGCCGTTGATGTTCCTGTCCTGGAGCTTGGGGACGAGGAAGCCATCGTCCCAATTGACGAGGGAATCGCTCTTGATACGACTATGAACCAGCGTTCCGAGATTGAATTCCCCGGAGATGAAGAAGACCACGTCTTGCGTCTGAGTGATGACGAAGGCATGAACCAGCCCATGGATGAGCTGGACGATACTATGGCCCACCCCGTGGATACCGAGCCGGTTTCAATGGGTACTAAGCACGCTGTACACATTCTCCGCGAGAAGCTTGGTAGTTCAGCCACCCAACAGAAGAAGGGCGTGTTGTTCCAGGATCTCCTTCCCGAGCAGCGGTCCAGCAAGGCCGATGCCACTAAGATGTTCTTCGAGGTCTTGGTGCTGGCCACTAAAGATGCTGTCAAGGTGGACCAGGGTGCCAAGTCTATCGGTGCTCCCCTCAAAATCAGTGGCAAGCAGGCCCTCTGGGGCTCTTGGGCCGAGGAGAACGCTGCCGGTGCCATGAGCCAGCTCAGCCAGGCTCTGTAGAGGGTGTGTCATCTTGACCAAAATTTCTGGGATTATTGGCGCATCTTTTTCTTCTTGTAAAGCTCAACTTTGGGATGGTTCTGTGGAATATCTCGATTTGAGATCCGGTATTTCTTTGGGGATAGCGTTTAATTGGACGACTATCAGGAGTTTAGGGCTGGCTCGGAGACAGGATTTTGGTTACTACTTCCTTGAGAGCGACATTGATGAATTGATTCCGTTGCGTAGTAGTGTTAGCTTAATTGAACATATCTTTCTCTATCATATTTTATTCTTGTCTAGATTTCGGAGTTTTGATCTCGGAGAATTATGTAGTTACTCTCCCACGTGTTTGCCTAGGTACGCTCTTGGCGTCCGATAACAAATGCCACAGTTGAAATTCAAGACAAGGAAAATGTACATTGGTATTAGTAGGATCTAGCTAGAATTACCTACATGTATCTATCGTCTAAGGTTATAATTAAATATTGTAGTTAATGTCCAAGGCTGTCTATGGATTATTAATTGGCTATACGGGATCCCGAAGTCGGCTTCGAGACCGCGGAATTAAGGAGAATCGCCATGGATTGATCAGCTCGGACTTTCGAGTTCTATTTTAGACGCTAATTGTAATTCCTCCTCCTCGCAAGGTAGTGACTCACATATCCACCAGTCTGTACCTATACCTAGGTAGCTCCTGGCCGTTCGTTTTGTTTTCTATGACTTCATCGCTAACACAGAAACAAACTAGATGATGTCTCCGCGGTCAAGTACAGACGTCAGCGACGAAAAAGCCCACATCGGCCCCCGAAGGCCATCTGGCGATAATAGCGACAACGAATTCGACCGCACCAAATCCGAGGATGTGACTTACGCTCCGATCACCTCTCCCGGTGAAAGCAGTGCACCGCTCCAGAAACAGCGCTCGAATGCGTCCAAATCAGTCACATCTAGGTCCCTGGAACGCAGCTGGTCATTGAACGACGGCGTTAGTATCGGCGGCCATGGAATCGACGAGGCCGCGGTGGCGAACGAGGATGAAGCGTATACTGTTTTAGGCTTGGAGGATAACGATCCGCGCAATATGAGCAAGGCTCGACGGTGGCTGGTTGTCATTATTGTCTCCATGGGTTCACTCTGCGTGTAAGTATACAGCCGGGTTAGTCTTGCTTTCTCCGCGCCGCACAGAAGCTGATCTACTGAATATAGGACTTGTGCGTCTTCGATGTATACCACGACATATGTCCAATTGATGAGTGAATTTGGGTGTTCGCAAATAGTTGCGACTCTTGGATTATCGTTTTTCATCTGGGGACTTGGTTCGTGCTGGTCTTATCGTCTTTCGCGGACTGGACTATTTGTTGACGCTTTTCGATTTAGGAATTGGTCCGCTCTTTCTGAGTCCGTTATCCGAGGTTTGCTTGAGATGTCTGCTGCTAAATATTTGAGTCACTAATCTGATTTTGCCTAGTTTTATGGCCGGAGAAACATTTACATCGTTTCGTTCTCGCTGTTTCTCGTGTGGCTTATTCCGTGCGCAGTCGCTCAGAATACCGAGACTATGCTTATCGCTCGGTTCTTCAGTGGACTGTCAGGGAGTGCCTTTTTGAGTGTCGCTGGAGGCACTGTTGGTGACATGTTTGATCGCCATGAGCTTGCCTTGCCCATGATGCTTTACACTGCGAGCCCTTTTGTGGGCCCCGAAATTGGTCCTCTGTGAGTCTTCTACAGATTTCAAGCAGAATTTAAGGATGCCTTGCTCCGATCCCAACGCTAACAATAAACCACTAGGGTTGGTGGCTTCATTAATGCATTTACCACATGGTATGTTCTTATATTAAATCCTGGTAACTATTAAGGCTTACATTACTCGCAGGCGCTGGACGTTTTATGTACTCCTGATTTGGACGGCAGGGATCCTCGCCTCGATAATATTCTTTGTCCCAGAGACTTATCACCCAGTGTATGTATTTTCAAATCCTGGAATTTGCAACGCTAATCATGTTCTAGACTTTTGAGGCGTAAGGCGCAGAAGCTGCGTCAGGAAACCGGAGACGACCGATGGAAAGCTCCAATCGAAAAGCTGCAGCGTTCTGTCCCGCAAACAGTCATGTTTTCTTTGTATCGCCCCTTTCTCCTCTTAACATTGGAGCCAATATGTCTATGCCTTTGCATTTTCTCGGCCATCCTATTGGGAATTCTGTACCTCTTCTTTGGTGCTTTCCAGCTAGTCTTCTCTGAGGTATATGGGCTAGTAATATGGCAGCGTGGACTGTGTTTCCTTGGTCTATTTGTCGGCATGGTTATAGCCATCTTGTCCGATCCGATCTGGCGCCGAAACTACGCTCGCTTGGAGCATAACCACGAGAAAGCCACGAACAAGCTGGACGACTTCCAGCCGGAGTGGCGACTGCCCCCAGGTAAGTTTTCCAACAAACTGTTCAGTTGCCAAGGTTCCATAAGAACAATGGCTGACTTGATGGAATAGCGATTCTGGGAGGACCATTGGTTACTGTAGGACTTTTCATTTTCGCTTGGACAATATACCCTAACGTCCATTGGATTGCGCCTATCATTGGCAGTGCTGTTTTTAGTGCAGGGTAAGATCAGCCTTAGAATCTCACCTGATCGGGCGACTATGCGTTGGTCTTACATACTAATAGATCGGGTTACTGCTAGGACAATCCTGGTCTACTCGGGTATCTTCACATTCCTGGTCGATGCGTATCCAACTTTTGCCGCCAGTGCTCTGGCAGCGAACAGCTTCACTCGGTCATCCTTTGGAGGCATATTTCCACTATTCGGAATGCAAAGTAAGTTTGTCTGCACCCTCTCCGTGCTGAGACAAGAATTGGAAGCCTGAATTCAGCCCGTGCTTTGCATGAATCGCATCTTTCCAATGTGGATCAATGCGTTGCATTTTGAACAGGCCGATCTGTAGCTGTTCCTCAATGCTTGACAGCTATATTAACGGTTATGCAGTGTATAGCAACCTGGGATTCCACTGGGCAACTTCCTTGCTAGCGTTCCTGACCCTTGTCATGACCCCTTTCCCGTAAGTTCTGGCTTTGACATACTTGATGTCCACTTACGCTATGTCCTACCTATTTACTTTTCCCCTGCATTGAAACGATCACCTCAAGCATGGAATTTGGATATGTCATTGCCTGTGGCTCTGACACCACATTACTCAACACAAGCTGTTCTGTCCACTGAACCTTGCACTGACATTCATAATAGGTACCTATTCTTCCGGTATGGGAGCTGGATCCGAAGTAAGAGCCGGTTCGCGAAATCACAGGCGTGATCAGCACTTCCGTGCACATATGATACCCATACATACATTAATCTTAAGCTGGTTGGTCGCTGGCTGGATAGCTCTCTTACGAGGGCAGCCACAGGTCTAACCTCGGTGCCATTGCATCTCAACAGTTTACCAGCCGGTTTCATCTGAACACGGTGTGCCGTGGGCAATGAACACAGCATCCCATGGGCAGATGTTGGGAATTCCTGGCTGAGAAGTTTGGCTACTGGGGAGGATAGGGTCAGAAGCTGGCCTGCAACAATTGATCAAAACCGAACGCCTCCAGCTGCTGTACCGCCTGCAGTTCAAAAGCCAATGCAGAAAATCATAGTGAATAATACGCATGATCAGCAAGGATATATGCTTCATATCCTATGTCCGCTTGATTCCATACGTAGACATCTTGCATATTCGATCTGGCCGTTCCTGACCCCAAGCAGACCATGCAGCTTTTGATACTACTTGCGTGTTGATGTCCAGGAATAAATAGATCTCCACTCCAAGAATAGGAGTTGGACGGACCTGGCCCGGGCTTTAATTCTCCGACGGCAACCCCCAGTCTGCCAGGCCAGTTGCGAAGCATACGAGTGTCATGTGGTCTTTGAATCCAGTCACAGGCAATCATCCCCCAACCAACTTACCCCGGTTGCAGGCAGACATGACAATCTCTCCTCTATAGCAATCGTCATAGCTGAGCGATATATCCAGAGCCTTCTAGCCTCGGCAGAGCACCCTCAGCCAGCCTCGGAACAAAACGGGATCGGAGGGCAATGCCGAGAACTCTCGAAAATCTGGAGCGGGGTTTCTCGGGATAGGATTTGGCTTTGACAGAGGAATAATGACTCAATTGGAGATACTTCCAAGTTTTGCATTGAACGTTTAGTAATTTAAGAGGAGAACAGGGTATAAAGTATACAATCGACCTAGAAGTTCCCGCACGTGCGCAATTCCCCTGCGGGGTTACTAAGAGTATAGGTCATTCGGTATGCGCTGAACCCGATCTGGCGTAGGATTATAATTTAGCCAATCAGAGCTCGTGGACATGCTTAAATTACATGTCGTTTCCGGTAATGGAGTGAAAGCTGTAAACTTGGCATAATCAAATGCCGACCTGCAGTGACCATTGCCCTGAACATCAGCATGTGAGTATGATGTACATATATAGCCCTTATTTAAGAAGTTGAAGGACAATATACTCACAGGATTTTTGAGCAGAGATAATTCTTAAATTAAGACGCGCCCAACGTGGATTATGTTGGGTAGCAAAAAGAAAAAGAAAAGAAAAAGAAAAAAAAGCCCAGCGAATAAATTAGGTAAAATAGTGGCTGTTTTACGAAGTCACTAACTATAGCCAGGCCTGCGCCTTTTTAGACGTGCGAAACATAGCACTAAAATTCTCGAAAAGAAATTGCCAAATAAATATTAAAAAAAAAATATTAAAAATTTCGTCACTCGTACTCTCATTCAGTCCTTTACAAGCCCTTTACAATTGGACTGTGTTCGTGTTAAAGTCCTGTCTGTTGCTTACACTAGTCACGGGAACACTCCGATCGAGAGCCAATTCTCATAGTCATCCACTTCCTCTTCAACCTTCCCCGCGAATAATATTTGCATTGCCTCTCGACCTTCTTTCTTTCCCGGACTTCTCGATCGGCCTCGCATCGGCACGGCTCTCAAATTTGGAGAGAATTTCAGATCTTCCCCGCAACCGAACGAACTCTTCCACCTCTCCACTCTCAGTTCAGCCCCGAAACCGTTGCGGGATTTTCTGCTCTCAGCTTTGCGCCAATTTCTCCCCATCTACAAACCACATTGAAATCCTTCAATGTGTCAGATCATCGTACATCCGTCGCATCTTCAGTCGATTGTCCCCCGTTACACCCGTGACTCGACTCGCCGTGATTCCGATTCCGGTTCCCCACCAACTGTAGTCGCAAACGCGCGATTATAGGAACCAAGGACGGAAGACCCCTCCAACCTGTGAGAAGTGATTTGGGTGGATTTCAAGCCTTAGCACGGGCGATTTAGCAATTTGCGATCGTACCCTTTTTCTCTATCACAAGCTGGGCTGATCTCGCACGTGGATCCGCTCGCCCGCCGAGATCGAAGCGCGGATGGTATCATTGGTATTGTCGCCACCACGCTTTTTCTCTAGATAAACACAAGAAGACACGGAAAGTGTCCTACGGAGTTTGAAACACTTTGCCTTACTTTTGTGGACGTGTCCATAGACCACCGTCCTGGGGATACATGCCGAAATGAACATGGAAACCAAAAACGGCTCCCCAGTTCCTGCGGGGGACTACGGTGGGGATCGTGACTCCGCCGATATCACAGAACACGAACAAATGGACGTGAAGCCCAAAACTAATGGCGATAGCAAGGCGGACCGCAAAGCAGCTAATGCCAAGGATCCCTCCCGACCGCGACGGAAGAAGGCCCGGCGAGCTTGCTTTGCATGCCAACGAGCTCATTTGACTTGCGGTATGATGATAAACTGACCCTAGCCCTTGTTAGATATCTGACTAATATGTATCGGGTTTAGGCGACGAACGACCGTGTCAACGTTGCATCAAACGTGGTCTTCAAGATGCTTGCCATGATGGTGTTCGCAAAAAGGCCAAGTATCTCCATGATGCTCCCGATGGGGCGTTGATGCCAGCTGTTAGTAGCAGCAACAACACCAATCTATACAACAACACACTCCGCAATAATCTGCCTATATCTAGAAATGGCGCAAATGCTGTCAATTCCAACCAGCAACACAGCCAACAACAGACCCATCAACATCAACAACCAACCAATCCCACGAATAACAACTTTTACCCCACGCCCCAGACTCAGACAGGATCTTACAATCCCTACCAAGAATCCTCCATGAGCCAAAGCCCTTTTACCACGCAATCACCCGTTTCACCTACTTTTAACATGAAGAGCAGCACCAATGGTCGGAATCCGAGTCTTTCATCGACTGTGAACCCGCAGCCTACTCCGAGTACTGCTCTCTCTGGGGATACAAGTCAGTCCCAAAATCCTTTTGCAGGGCCATTTTTTGATCCCAGTGATCCAGCGCTCTTCAACTTTGATCTATCGAGCATGAACTTCGAAAATCGATACGGTGCTCTGGAATTTGGCATGCTTGGGCATATGGCCACCGGGGCGGCCGGTGACTCTCCTACTGATTCTGCAGGACAGCGAGGGTCGATCGGCCGCAGTGGATCAGCCCAGTTCTCCACACCAGCTCCTGGATTTGGAGAAAGCCCGGGGAATCAACCTTTCATGTTCGGCGATCCTCTCCTAAATGAATGGTCGGCCGGACCGGCCTCGGGCCAGCATGTGAATGTCGGTGGTGTGTATGCCCCAAATGCCATGCTCCCTGAACACATGAAAGCAAATGCACCACATGCATTTGCGATCGAAAGTGGACCAGCAAGCTTCACTAGTCCTGGCTCGGCCGCAAGCCCGAACATTCCAACGGCTGCATTCGATGACGGTCCATTCAACAATATCGCTCCTGCTCCACAGTCCAACAGCCTGGTGCCGAATGGACAACGCCAGGTAACAGCATCGATCTTGAAACACCCAAATCTGCAGGTTGGCCCTAAACGGCGCCACCGCAATCCTTCCTCAATATACGAAAGCGTGAAGGAGCCCTATGCTTATACAAGCGGCTTCCACAACCTCACTGCTTTCATTCAACGTCGCTTTACGCCGCAAAAGACCGTGCGAATTGCCAAGGCACTCGCATCCATTCGACCCTCTTTCATCGCAACTACTAAGACCCTTAACCGTGATGATCTCATTTTCATGGAAAAGTGCTTCCAGCGAACTCTCTGGGAGTACGAGGACTTCATCAATGCATGTGGAACGCCGACCATCGTCTGCCGACGCACCGGCGAGATCGCCGCCGTAGGCAAGGAGTTCAGCATCCTAACCGGATGGAAGAAAGACGTGCTTCTAGGAAAAGAGGCAAACCTCAACGTCAACACCGGTGGTTCGGCCGTACCCCAGTCCGGGGCAACGTCACGCGGTAGTTTCACACCGCGTGGCTCCACATTAGAGAATTCCGCCACTGGACGCCCCCAGCCGGTATTCTTGGCCGAGCTCCTCGATGATGATAGTGTCGTAGAGTTCTACGAGGACTTTGCGCGTCTGGCATTCGGCGATTCTCGTGGTAGTGTCATGACTCGGTGCAAGCTGCTCAAATACAAAACCAAGGAGGACACGGAGGCTGCACAGTCCGATGATAATGCAAAGTGGAATAGCCACCTCCGTAAGGGTGGCATTGCTGGCGAGGCTGGCATGAACCAGCTTGGTTTCAAGGATGGAAAGGTCGAATGCGCGTACTGCTGGACAGTGAAACGCGATGTGTTTGATATCCCGATGCTCATTGTGATGAATGTAAGTCTCTAAGATCACGCAAGCTCTCAAGAGTTGATCTCATGCTAATCCCCCATTTTCTAGTTCTTGCCATGCATTTGATTTCCTTTTTTCTTTGATTTTGTTTCCTGCTCTTGTTCCAAATTACCCTTTCATACCCTCGGCAAGGCCTAACATGAGGCCTGTCTTCTCTTCTTCTGCTGTTCTACCCGGTACATATTTCCTGGTTCTGGGATTGTATGATTCCCTTTGATCTGGATTTCCTTCCGACCACTCGCCGACGGGGGTCTTCTTTTGTTCTATGTTCTCGTATATATGTCATGCTTCTTTGATTCCTGGAACCAATTCCAGGATTGTCGATAGTCATGCTTTCTTGTTTTATTTCCTTTTTGTGGCGCTCAAAATGGGGGCAAAAAATGATATCTCTGGGACGGGATTGTTACTGTATGAGCATAATGCAATGATATTGAGTGGGGTCACTTCTGACCTCGTTGAGCCGTAAACCATCCATGGATCTAATTTTAAACCAAGAGATAAGCTTAATCCAACCTTCCCCGGTTGGAATTGCATGTGGATTGATACCTGATACCTCAGGCCCCTAATACACAATGCATCCTTATCCTTATCGCGGTAACCCCACCAGGGTTGATCGTATTCAGACACACTCAACGCCAGCATCACGCCGAACCATTGCTAAATCACACAATCAATACGCATCAAACGAAAATACACTATTAGCAGATCTGTCTGTGCCAATATCCACGCTTTACCCTACCCTTATCCGACAGAATCCTCCATGCGACCCGACAAGCCGCGCGAGCCGGTGGCCGGCCCCGACGCAGGCCCGGAACCTCCCTATCCTGTGCGACTGTCAGGGCCAGTGATCAAGGGATTTGGCCGCGGGAGCAAAGATGTACGTCTATGAATCTCGGAACCCAAACTTGTTGCTATAATCGCACAGCGCAATGGGCACAACAGACTTTCGCTGACTCGCTCTCCCGGATGACTACAGCTCGGAATCCCCACCGCCAACATCCCCGCCGATGACCTGTCCGAGAAGCATCCAGAGCTGACAACCGGTGTCTACTACGGCATTGTAGCGCTCGACCCGAAAACATACCAACATGAGACATCCGAGGGTAGCACATCTACTGCGGTGGTGTTACCTGCTGTGTTGAGCATTGGATATAACCCTTTCTATAAGAACACCGTGCGATCTGTGGTATGTGATATGTGATACAAACCAGACGAAATGCCGTCAAAAGTTGAAACTGGTGTTTTAGTGGGGTATTGGGCTGACGCGGTTGCTCACTTCAGGAAATCCATATCATGCCCGCTCTCACAGAACCATCGCCCACCGCTGCGGGACAGGAGGGCCAGACTAAGTTTAATCGCTTGCCGGATTTCTATCAAACGCGACTAAACCTGTTGATTCTGGGTTATATCCGGCCGGAGTTTGATTATGTCTCGCTGGAGGCATTGGTGGAGGATATTCGGGTAGATTGTGAGGTTGCACGGGAGAGTCTGCTACGCGAGGCTTACAAGTGCTATCTTGTTGACAGCGGTAAAGCATCTGGGAAAGTCAGTGAGGACCGTGAGTGGTTGGTGAGCTTTGATTAGGTGGGGTTATATATCATGCCATTCGGGACTAGTGAGATGATTATCCTGCATTGCGATTATTCTTCTATAGCGCAGCTCATTTCTCCGAATAGACATAGAAGGAGGATCCTTTTGTTGACATGCCATCTGAGATGCTACTTGATGCGTCTTCCAATCGTCGCTGTGATTGCCCACATGTTCCTGATCCACCCGAACGAACCATTGTATATATTAACCTAGAACTTTGAAATCTTGTTAGTATGATCAAATATAACCAAGGATCGGATGAAAACGCTCAACGAATTAATAAGATTTCAATCAGTTCGATGGTTATCAAGCGGACGCACTATGCTTCGGGGTATCGAAGAGTTTGCGACTGAGACCGAGGCAACCCACCCTCGGAATGGCCCAAATGCAGCAATCTCAGACTCGAGCAGGCTCTTCGTGGAGGTGGAAGGCCACAATTGAACGCTCGAGATGGCGCCGCTCAAGGGTCCGTAGGGCTAGGTGTCGACGAGCGAAGCTTTTGAAAACCTTATGGGCGACAAGGACTTTGTGTCCGATCTCGACTTTCTCGAGATTCGGAAAGAGACACTGTGAGAAAGAATCAGAACAACACTTTTATCGAGATAGCCGTAGCAGAACCATAGTCTGAACAACTTTGCCCAATCTTCGGGCAACCCGTGGAGAGGCCATCTCCATTCCGGCTCTCTTCCCCATAGCTGCTGACGGAGAGGACGGCTGCCTGCTATCAAAATGGGATCGTTCCTGGCACGTTTCGGGTTCCTCACGGGCTCTCCAGCCACATTGGGAGACATGGTGGCAAAGAGAAATAACCAAAGCGAGGCTGAAGCAGAACGAATAGGCCACGAGGAGTTGGAGCAATGGTAAGAAAAAGCAAGCTCAAAGTTGTAGATATAGAAGTGATACAGGAAGAAGAGAAACCCAGAGGGAGTTTGCAGAGATATATCCTCAGTTGAGAGGATAGATAAAGTGTTGCTAGAGGTAACTAGTGTATCAGATCAGCCCTGTGTCTATCAGTCTTATTAATGCTATTTTGGAAGGCGTAAAGGACGAAACGCACCTTCTAAGAAATCGCCTCTATCGCGCCTTCCTTACGATGTATAATCCAATCCGACCTTCGAGAAACTAGTACAATTCGTAAGCTGGAAATGATATCCCAATGAGATTAAAGTGAGATCAAACATTGTGTCTGCCCATCCGAGCTCGGAAGAAGCCTATGATAGCAAAACGACGTTGAACTGAAAATGATCTGTACCTTAAATAAAAGAGCATTTAAGCGAAGGCCATTGAAGTCTTGGCTTGAACCGGGTTTGCTATATGCGTTGGATTGGGTAGTATGACTGGCCGACTTTTATACCATTGAATATTATTAATAGGGAGATCATGACCTCGATGAAAGTCAACTAGTGATAATCACTCCTAGGAGACGCCGTGATAGGAACCTTTGAGCTGAGTTTAGCTTGGTTATCCTCATTTATGGATACCTTCTTGTTGATAGGATAAACTCATATCAGGAATATATCAAATATCTGGCATATCATGGTCAACACGGCGTGTGATTGAGGGTTAATAATGCGAGGACACTCTATTTGAAACAAGCCCGTCGACGCCTGTTTGATTTCATATTTTATGCATTTAGATATACGGATAGCTATACATATATGGAAAGTAAAAAGAACATTAAAAAGAACTTCAAAAGAGTGTGCTAGTATAAATAAGGTTGAGACAAAACCCCCACAATCCGGCTACCTACAGTAACGGCAAATCGGCATTTTTGTGACGTCCGTGTATACACCTAAGGACCTATCACGCACCCGCGCTGTAATAGCAGTCGAAGTTTGACTAAGAAAAAGTAAAGACCGACGGCTTGAGCAACAGGTTGTTGAACCAAACGGGTCTTCCCGATGCGGTTTATGGGTTATATTTCGGCGTTTGCGGAATGCAACATCAACGACGTCACCGAACAGGAAACAGTTATTTCTACATAATAACATAGCTACATGTCCTCCCAAATTCCCAATCCACAGCTCATCCAATCAACGACCATATTGAGACCATGGTCAACATATTCCAACGCCTGACTCGACGCCGAGCCCAGAGCTCCAGCAGCAGCCCACTATATTTAGACGCAGATACTACGGGCCCCAACTCCGCAGAATCCCATCCACACGGAATACATCGGACAGTGAGCACAAACTCCAGCAAACGCAGCTTCCGATATGAAGAGCCATCTCCCCGACATCTCATCCTGATCTCCGACACCGTGCAGTTCGATACACACGTAGTCCATCGCTTCCAGGCGGAAGGCTTCCAAGTGATATATCTCCCATTCCTTGGCAGCGGGGATGAAGATAAGGACACAAAAATGCTGAAGAACATGGTGCACGAGAAAGAAGACGAACTCGAGAATGGAGAGCGGTATGCGATAGTCGGTACGTCTTATATTCGACTATTAGTTGCCTCTACATACATGCTTCCTCCTATTTGAAGCAGGAAACTCAGCCCTGCAAGATATAGAAAACCCCCAGCTAACCATTTGCCACAGCATATCACCGGCCTGCCTACCTTCTCCTAGCCTTACACCACACAATAGCCAGCAACACAAACCCATTCCCACACCTAGGTGCCTTGATAACCTACTACCCCCTCTCCTCAACAGACCAATTCACCTACAAGGAAAAAGAAAACTGCTCTCCGCCAGGTTGCTCAGACACAGGTTCAATCTTCGGCCCAGCCTCCAAGTCAACTTATGTCCCAATCCAAATCCACATCCCAGGCCCACGAGTCCAGCCATGCGCGTTGTGGCCATGGATGGAAGTCAGTGCTACAGAAGGCGACGTTACCTACAAGAAAAAACACCGTTGCTACGTGTACACATATCCAGGGTCAAGAGCTGGATTCGCGGAGCGCGAAGTCGCCGAAGAGAAAGAAGGCGAGGTGGATGTGGACTTGAACGCGGAGGACGAGATTAGCTCGCAACTAGCGTGGAGTCGGGCGCTGGCATGTCTGCGGCGCTCATTCAATGTCGGGAGCTACTGGGCTGTTAACGATATCGAGACTGTCTGGGAAGAATACTGGGACCGTGTAACTGGTGAGTTGGAGATGCGGAAACGGAATCAAGGTAGTGGTTCTGAGCCGGCGGTTGAGATGTTGACTGGCCATGGCCATTATGGTGAGATGGGGTGTCCGGCTGGTGAGGTTTTTGTGAGGTGTATTCCCACCCAGGCTGGGGGTGAGTCTTCTTTTCCCACCTTCTATTTTCTACGATCCGGGTCAGGACTTTGCTGATATGTATATTGCAGGCTCTGATATCTCAAGTTTGAGAGATTTCTTCGCTCATGCGTATATTCCTGCTGGACCGGTTGATCAGCACATCCGCCTCTTATCGCGCACTGTGGGTGCGGATCGCATCGTGGATGAGATGTTGTTTTCTTGTTGTCATACCGCTGAGATTCCATGGCTGTTGCCTGGTGTTTCGCCGACCGATCGAGATATTAGTGTCATCATCGTTGTGGTGGCAAGCTTCACTGCCGGTCAGATCACACGCCAGACTCTTTATTGGGATCAGGCTGGCGTGCTTGTGCAGGTTGGGTTGTTGGATCCGGGACTTGTGCCGTCGTCAAAAGCTGTCAAAGGCTATTGAGTGTTGAGTGGTGTTTTAGTCTTGGATATCTCTGTCTTGTAGATGAGTGCACGAAGGTTAGTAGGGACTATCAAGACAATATAATCATAATCAAGCATCGTTGTTTTTCTATTTATCTTGGTATCTATCTACACAGCTGCTTGAGCGGCACTCCTTTCGACCGGTCCAAGAAGCCGAAAGGAGTGAATTGTATTCCTGGCGTTTAGCTGTTGGCCGCTATCGTGAGATAAAGCAATTAATTGAGGTAGGCCTATGTAATGACACCGCATGCTCTTCTCATGAGAAGAGCTAGTCCCCTTTTGGTTGAGGTACATACAACATATGCAACAACAGGCCGCCGCATTAGCCCCGGGTATCTCCCCAACGTATTCGGTAAGCGAGTCGGCGCATGTAAGACAGCCGGCCACCCCAAAACACATAGTAAATGCGACTTGATATCTCAACGACGGTGGCCTATAGGGAGTTTTTCTTATAGCACGATACTTTTTAGATGATATCTAGCACCTTTAGGGAATTTAGGGGGTTTTAATACCTTAGTGATGAAGAGATATATATATTTCTGGCTCGTAATCATGTAATTTTCGATACCGTAACATTATAGCTTTCTAATTTCCTTCAAATTAGTATACATTATTAATAAACCTTACCAACAGCTATCGAGCAGCAATAATATCAAACAAGAACGTGGTTGTGGAGATACAAGTGTAGAAGATATCCCATTTACTATGTGTTTTGGGGTGGCCGGCTGTCTTACATGCGCCGACTCGCTTACCGAATACGTTATATTATGATCTAAGGTAATGGTTAACTACCACTTATAGCGCGGCTTCTAAACCGTACGGCCGTTTAGAAGCCGCGCCATAAGTGGTCGGTCTTAGAATTCCACCTTGCTTTTACCCCTTATTTCTAGATTCTCCCGCCCTGCGGAGTATCGATTTTGAGAAAACAGCTATCAATAAATTTATAAAAAATCGAAGTTCTATCAGCTTTTAACCCTCTATACAACGATCCTGTCGGTGTCTGTTCTGTACTATTGCCTCTGTCCTTTATTCATGCAGTAACGCAGCGCAAAGAATGTCTGCGTTTTCATATCTCTAGTTAGGAAGAAACGCCTATCATGGGTAATATTCCCACTCCTCCCACCTCCGCGCTTTCCAACGTGCTCGTGTCGAATCATCTGGAGCATATACATTAGCCATATGTTTTATAGGTGCACCCCACACTTATGTAGATCATACCACGTCCATCATGGGGCTGCCGTTCTAGGTCCCGTTGCATGTGCGGGAATGTGTTTTCGACGGTCTGCGTTGGTACAATCTCTATAGAGATAGAAAGTAAGCTAATGAACAGAAACAACGAGCTTAGACATACCTTGTTGGGAATTCTTCCTTGATGTATATTTCCAAAGAGTGCATAAAGGTTTGACTAAAGCGACGAATAGTGCCATGATTGCGATAATAGCCTCGACGGAAAGACCCATTGCGTCCGGAAGCGTGGTGTAGAGGAACCTAGGGGAAGAAGTTTCCAATTCCAGAAGGCTTCATGAGAATATAGCAGTGGTCAAGGAGTGATATTTTTAAGAGAAGAAGAGAGGAGAACTCGAGTTGATCATGCATTTATATATGGAGATAGAACAAATTGGCACCGAGTTTGTTTATTTCGGCTCGATACATACGTATGTATGTACATAGTCAGTATGACTAGGTATCCTAGATACATGTATAATGTCCAAAAGCCCAGCTTTAGCATTCTATCTGTGGGAACCTAGTACGTGCATGACAAAAAGGACATTGCTGGAATACAGCCAAGGCCAAACTACTGCGCCACGTTGTTTAGATCCAGGAACGACTACCACCAGTGTCGAATCAGGACGTGAGAAAGCTAACCGCTGCTGGCTTGGCGGTGACCTGTCCATCATCTCCCATCCCCCATCGTCTCCCATCTCCCATCATCTTTCCCATCTCTCCCATCCGCCCCCAGCTTCCCAGAAAAAGAAAGGGAAAAAAAAGAATATCTCTCTTCCTATCCCTCCTTCCATCTCAGCGTGCGTTTTTAGATCAAGGGTAGCATATATCATGCAACATGGCTATAAAGCCATAAAGTCCTTTTCTGATAAAGGAAAATAAAGATAAAGTAATAGTCCCTTTGCTAGACAAAGGTCAACTTATTATTCCCCTACTAACAGTGCTGAATCTCAGAGCGACGATTTTATTAGAGCAATAACTAGTTGACCTAAGTAACTATTTAATCTAACTCCGCTTACAGATGTAGCCCTAAAAGTCAAGCCCGTTATTACACCTGACCTACCATGGTAGGTTATGCAGGAAGGAATGTTCTACATGATCCTATAGACAACTTCGACAGTACTGAAATCTCCATCTGGAGGCAAACTGAAGCAGGATAAACAATATTACTATTGGATAATTCTGAACAGACTAATATGATCGACAGATGTTAAGGAGACAGAGAGTTTTTACGTACATCTCGCCTAATAACTTAAGTCAGACGTATAGCAACTGACGGGTTTCACCAAGTACTTGAGATTGCGCCGACAAGCTAAGATCACTCTTCCGGAGACATATCAAATGACCATCAACATTGCATCCCACGATTTCCAACTTCGTAATTTGAAGCTGGGCGTGCAGCATAGTCACCAACTTCTGCCACGAGCCATCTAGGCGTGTACTAATACCAACATGGTTTAAGACAACCTCTCTCAAGCTGTTTTGGTGGATGCCGAAAAGTAATAGCAGGTCATCTGAAAGACAGTCAAAGCCGCCAAGCCGTAAAATTCGAAGATTTGGTAGACTTAATGCCTGACTGAGCGCCTGGAATCCGGCTTGCTGCAGACGTCTGTTGAAATACAGGTCAAGTACCTCTAATCGTGGAAAGAGCGAAATGAAATCAGCGAGAGGCTTAGACCAAACATGTGGATCTTCGTCATAATTCGGACTCATCAAAAGCCGCAACGAGGTGAGTGTCGCAGCCCACGGTAGTTGTATTCGGTGAAGTTCGGGGAATCTGAGCACACTTGGATTCATTGCTCGCCCAAGTCCAGCATTCAATTCGAATTTCTCTATTGAAACTCCGCTGGCGGTCGCAGCGGCAATAATCACATGGGTCACTTGTTGAACATAGATCTTGCTGTATTCGTTTTCCATACTTGAGGTCGGGTAGACCCCGGTTTCTCTTTCTAGAAATGCAGCCCCCCAGGGCTGATCGCGGTCAGCCAGGGCCAGAGTTCGACAATGAACCGCATTCGCTAGTATTTCTGATAGATATGTTGTGTCCAAGCCTGATTGTCGGAAGGAATTTTGTTGTATATAATATTCACGATACCTCTTTTTATCGATCGGGTAGACATTTCGCTCCATCCAGGTTGGAAGGTAGGGCTCATCCGAAAGTCCATCCGGAGTCAAGTGATTGGTAGTGATGACCACAGAGCGTATCGAAGGACCTAGAATCGGATGATGCGATATGTCGAGTAATTTCATAAGGCTGTGCCGGCTTAACATGTGGGTTCGCGTGCGGAAGTAGAGCTTGAGGAAGAGCGCGAAGGTGCTGTCTCTTAGGTACAAACTACCCAGGCGAAGGTTGAAGAAGTCTCTGCTTTCAAGATATCGAGCAATCATCGGAATAATTTCTGGGCTAAGGTGATCAATATCTGACATTTTGACGTGATGGAAAGTATGTCTCCAAGTGAGCCTGCCGCCATTTGAAGCTTTTGCTTAAGGCGCTACTATATGTATGCAATGTTTTGCCACCTTAGACAAGAGGCAGTCAAGTAGGATTCGATTTCCTTCGTATTATCATCCCAACCATGGTTGATAAGTTGAAGTTCGACATATTTGGCCTCCGCGGAGATATAACTGCATCAAAGATTTCATGTGACATTAATAGTCATGGCCAGCCTTTCAATGATGCGCACATCATCCACAAAACGTTAGCATGTGTAATAACGTAGTTTCGTTCGGTTTGGAGTATTACTGGGAATAAAACCAGTCAAACGTAGGGTATAGTGAGAGAGCTATAACACTGTGTAGGCCTTGCAATTTCCTACCGTAGTAGAGCTTGTCGAAACTCCCAGGGCACAAATCATTCTCCGTAGAGATTGTTAGTAAGAAAAATAGAAATATATACGTATAACCATAATAACCCTAAAAACGCTTTTCCATAGAACCACAATTTCGCATAATACAACACAGCTAACAGCTCAAAGGTGTTGTTTCTCTCCGAGTTCGCTCCTTCCAGCGGGTTCACAAATCCCCGTGGACAATGATGAACGGGGGGAATAAGACGGCGGCGAGTCATCCTCGGAGATGTTCTCGTGTCCTCTCTTCATCCCAGTGTCTTGGCTCGCCATGACCCCAATAGGCAAATCAGAGAGTTTGAACTCCACAGTTTTCCCCGCACACAAAAATACAATTGAGACAGATAACCTATACGTTCTACTTATGTTGAGCGTGCGGAAAGATATATCCGTATGTCGGAATATGAAGGGCCCAACCACCGTGTCCAGGTCTACACTTCCTGAAACCGGGACGTTCACGGAAGGCCTGGATATGATTTCAATGCGTTCATCCACCTCAGCAGACATCACCCCAACCAGAGACGGCGTAGCTCGGGCGGCAGTTTGACCTGTCACGACCACATGGATAGACTGCATCAGGATCTGCGGCGGAGACCCGATAGAAGAGTTCTGGATTAAAGGATCAACATCCAAAGTACACAAGAGTGGCCTTGACTGTATCACATGGGTCTGGTAGGAGAAGGCGACATTGAAGGTGAAGTGAGGCAATTTTCCCGGGGAAAGCCAGGACTGGAACTTCTCTTGAACGCTCAAGTTTCTTCCTTCATGTCCGGGAAGAAGGTGCATGCTTCGAATGTTGAATAGTTGCTCTTCTCGTCGCGACTGGGCCCGGGGAAACCTGTCCTTCGCAAGCCTATCCACTTTGGCCGACGCAGGCATAAAATTCAATAGAATAGGCTCAGATACAAATGGCGAGGTCCTGCTCAGGAGGCCTTGTTGTATCCTGGATCCTTGTGCGTATACTTTGTATTCGATCACACAGTCCAGTCGTCTTAGGTCGTCCTCCGCTTTCTTAGTGAATGTCGGCGGCAGTGCATGGCCTGCGTCATTATAGAAACGGGTAGTTTCGGGCCATCGCGTCGAATTGGTCGAAGGCTGGACATGAGAAGGGAAAAGAAACTCAAATGACCACTGAAAGAGGCCATTTGAAGGTGCTTGGCAGTCGTGGAGTGAAAAGATGCGCTCTTTTTCGAAAAGAATACATTTGCTGCGATACGTCACGGATGCTGTTGCTGATCTCTTGGCCTTTTGTACCCGACATTTTGTCCGGCCAACAAAGACTACGCGGATGTGATCTTGAATGTCGGAAGTGGTTGGACATCGCAGGGTGACATGACCAGATATTGTCTCATTGTCTGAGTAACATGTTCTTTGATTATCGAGGGACAATATGAGGGACATGATGAACGATAGAAGAAAAGAGGAATAGAAGTAAAATTTAGAAAAATTGTGAAATAACTGAAATACCTGATCGCCATACCTTATAGTTGGATCATTTCTTTTTCGGAAAGGGAAAATCCCAGATTGGCAATTCACTAAACGAATACGCAACGATCACCTGATTCAGAAGGCCCTGGACTTGAGATGTCTCACATTCAGACCCAGTCCCAACCTTTAAAAAGACAAGATCTGCGGTAGCCTACTTCTTCTTCTTCTTCTTTTGGAAAGGAGCAATACAAGATAGAATATGACCAGTTGACAGAATCGATTTATGATATCAAGGAGCGCTGCCATCGCTCTGCTTTACAGCTTCGGCTCGCTAGGACGCAATGGGCATATAAAGGACTTTGTGCTCCGGGTACTATGGGGCCCCCCAAATGTTATTAAAGAGGATATCCACAATGACTACATGCTAATGTGTAGGATTTGATAAGAATAATACGAATTGACTTATTGATCGCTTTTGTAAGTGGAGCTTTGCTCCCGAGCTGCCTAGGTACATTAGTCCTAAGACCCACTTCATATGGAGATCCTCATACTCCAAGAACCAACGTCATTAGTACTGGGGCCATGTCAAGCGGCACCATTATCACAGCCCCAATAAGCCCCGCAGCTCAACCAGTTTCTTGCTCACACCTCCAGCGTTAGCCAATGTTTTACGGCTCGCCTCCTGAGCAATAGGAATGACATCCTCAATGCGCACGGAAGGATCCTTGGCCAAGCCAGCCACTACAACACCTAGCAGGGTATCACCCGCCGCATTGACACTGACAATGTCCTGAGTACCTAGAATAGCAGCAGGCGAGAACAGACGCATATAAACACCACCGAAAGGCACGTCCGAGCCAGGCGACGCGCGAGCAAGAATATACGGCGCAGACTCCGGATCCGTAAGATGGGGATCACCAGGCGGCAGAAGCTGAGTAAGGAGAGCACCCGCCCGACCGAGCTTGGTAACAATGCAGGGAATGAAAGGAAGCAGCTGAACAGTCTGCTGCGGAAGGCCTTCGTCGACGAGAGATGTTGAGGTAAGTGCAATGAGGCGCTCACGCGAGCCCGTCGGAGACATATTCATAGAGTTAATGATATGCCACCATCCCGCTGACTCAAAAAGAAGTGATTCCCGCGCAGCAGTGTACATAGCGGCCAGCTCGAGGCGGTTCGGACACGCAAGACTGATAGCATTATCTGGAATTGTCTGATTGGGACCGATAGTCGCACCGGTGCTGTTTGCATCGCTGCCGAATAGACGTCGGGATTTGGCTGTTGAAACGGGCTCGAAGGCTACGCGTGCGCCGTGTTTGCGTGCCACAGCACTCCACTTGGCTATCACGTCGGGTCGCCAGTTCGCATCGACGACGACCCAGTTTGGCTTTGTGCGTTCTAAGAGAGGTTCCCAGAAGCCGTCGAAGTCGAGCTGGGATTCGGGGAGCTCGACTATGCCCATGTCGGCCATGGCTACTAGGAGGTCTTTTTTGATGTCGTTGATTGCGATATATTGTGCTGTGCGGGTGTTTGGCGTCGCTGGGAGAACTTGAATGCCTGCGGTGCTGAGTTCGTCTTTTTCAAGGGTTGATAGTGCGGCACGACCGCTGAGATCGTCTGCAACGACGCTACAGAAGAGGACGTCGCTGCCGACGTAGTTGGCGGCAACGGCAACGTTGTGGCCAACGCCGCCTAGGCTTTGTCCGATAATTGCTGGGTTGGAGGTATGTGGTACTGGTGCAACCTGTATGAGTTCGTCTCCGAATGGGGTGTAGTCGCAGGAGAGGTCGATGGCTAGCGAGCCGGCAACCACGACATCTGCCTTTAGCATCGGTGTGATAGGTTCGATGCTGGCTGGTTCGGGGATGTCTTCAACCTGCGAGGCATCTTGACTTGGCAAAGCTACATCTGGGATTGATGGCATGTGTCTATAGGGAAGGAGATGTCCGAACTTAGCATTGATTGCATCTCGTATCTCGTATCTAGAAACAAAACTCACCGAGACCCTGTTCCTAGGTCAGCCTGTTCAAGCTTGGCAAGTTCCACAGCTACTAGGGTTGCACGCTTGACATTGGACTCAATCAAGGCCCGGTTAGCGACTACGCTCTTTCCACCGCTTAGTTCCTTGATCTTAGCAAGCACAAATGGTGTGTTGTCACTGCCATGGTAACCCTCTACATGGGAAAGGCGGATAGCTTCTTCAATCACAAGATCCATCTCGGCTTTGGGGATTGAGTGCTCCAGGGGGACAGGGTTGGCAAAATGGATGCCGGAGGATACTGGAAGCTTTGATTGCGCATCTGGAGATTCTGTCAACTAGGCTGCAGCTTTCAACGCATGGGGTAAGCTTACAGACTATGGCGGCAGCTTCAGCTTCATTTTGAATGACTCGGGGGCTGCGGACGCCGCTCTCTCGTGTAAAGAAAGCAGGGAAGTCGACGGCGCCATCCCGGCCATCAGCGAATGTGCCCACGCAGACACCTTCGGTCTCGAGGTATTCGAGCGTTCGAGGAATGTCCAAGAAGCTCTTGCATCCAGAGCTAATCACCGTCACAGGGGTACGTCCAAGTTCAGTAAGATCAGCTATAATCATTTGTCAATAAATTGCGTTCTGATTTGTTCCCAAAATTTTCCCTACCAGATATATCCATTGAGCTTTCTGCTCCACGATGCACACCACCTAGAGCAAGTCAGATGGGCTTCGTTTTCTGATTGACCTTGATCATTGGATTTACCTAGTCCGCCTGTACCAAAGATCTTGATACCAGCTAGTTCTGACAGAATCATAGTGCCCGAGATTGTAGTACCGCCGTGCATTGGCTTCCCAATAATGCCCTAATATAGATCAGTTTCAATCCTCTGAGCCATTTGTAGCTACTACTCACCATTCCACAGATATATCCAAGATCCCTACGAGATACTTTCAGAGCACTCTTCTCTTGAGCTGTCGAGGCCAGCTCGATAAGCTCTTCCGTACTCAGGCCAACCTTGGCAACACCATCAAGGACTCCTATAGTTGCAGGAACTCCCCCGCTGGCTCTCACAACAGACTCCAACAATGCGGCAAGAGCAATGTTATCAGGATAAGGGAAACCTACAGCCGATCAGTCTTGGCTTCCCCGCTTTTTGGCGAAGCTCTTCAACCCCAGGAATAAACACAGAAAGACTCACCGTGTGTATAGATTGTCGTCTCGAGTGATACAACGGGTCTACCTGTAGCAACTGCATCCCGCACCTCTTCTGACACCTTAAAGAACTTGCTCTGGGCAAGGCCATGGTAACGACGAGCACACGACAGCTGGGTTCCCTTTAAGCCGGACCTTAGAGCAGCTCGAGAGGCGAACATGGTGTGTGACAACATGATGGCAACTGAAAAGAGGATTCAGCTGTACCTCCAGCTAAGTGAACCTGCCAGTCAAGCATGCAAGAAGTTAAAGATGCGAGATGAGGAGAAGCTCCCGAGCTAAACCAGACCGTTATCAGCGATAAACCGGAGTGCGCGATGTGGCCGCTTCGGCGACCCTAGTATACAATGGGGACCACGTATCATCAGCTCCGCAAGCTTCAGGTTCATCGACCAGACACAATCACACCTTGGATTCTTGAACATTTTGAACCTCGGAGAAATTGTGTCCTCCAGGTACTCATAATGAGGTTTTTCACCGCCACGGTGCTCGGGCTGCTCGCGCCCAGCCTGTGCGCCGCAACCAACCTTACTACGCCTAGTCGATTGGATCTCCCGTCCGGCTTCAAACCCCCGCAGGTTTTCAGAAACACAAATTTGGTTCGGAATACCAATTTGGAAAAGAGCTATGTGCGGGAAACAATCAATGTTGTTGTGGAGAATGTCGACAAGCAGCCCCAGAACGACTACTACATCCCCTTCCCTGTCGAGGTGTTTGATCGTGTTGGAGGCCTCGAAGTGAGGGATAAGAAGGCCCCCGAGAAGGGACGCTTTGACGTGGACTATACTGAAGCTGTATCATCTAAGTGAGTTTCAATTGGGAGGCCAATGGCCACGCCAGGGGATACACCGTGACACTAATTCTAATATCAATTGAAACAGCGGCAACCAGTACTTCGTGATTCACCTTCCCGAACCGCTGGCCCCGAACTCGCAGATCACCCTTGGAATCTCGTACTCGGTGCTTTCCTCTCTCAGCCCGCTTCCTGCGACCATTAAACAGGCGGACAAGCAATACCTCACCTACTCCTTCTCCGCTTATATGCCATCCGCCTACACGACGGATACACAGAAGACCAAGTTGAAGTTCCCCAGCACCAATGTACCGGACTATACAACCACTGATGGGCTCAAGTCCGGCTTGGACCCCGAGCGCAAGGGCGCCACATATACGTACGGCCCGTATGACACGGCCAAGGTGGCCCCGGGCACCGAGCACCCAATTACCGTTCGCTACGAATTCACTAAGCCCGTCATCACCGTAAACCTTTTGGAGCGTGACTTGGAAGTCTCGCACTGGGGCGGCAACCTTGCAACTGAGGAACGGTACTGGCTGCGCAACAACGGCTCGCAGCTGACCAACCAGTTCTCGCGTGTCGATTGGACCTATACCAACTACCAGAAGGCACCTACTTCAGCGGTTCGCGAGCTGACATATCCGCTTCTGCCTGGCTCTGTCGACCCTTACTTCATTGATGATATCGGCAATGTCTCGACCAGCCGCTACCGTCCGAGCGTTGGTAAGAGCGCTGGTAACTTGGAGCTAAAGCCACGCTACCCGATCTTCGGAGGCTGGAACTACAGCTTCCGTGTTGGGTGGAATAATGACCTTGCTTCGTTCCTGCGCCGTGCCGCGGGTGTCGACTCCGACTCCCATGCCCTCAAGGTCCCGTTCATTGAGGGACCCAAGATGGCAGAGGGCATCCAGTATGAGCGTGTGATTGTGCGCGTCGTTCTCCCCGAAGGTGCCCACAATGTCCGCTTCGAGATCCTCGAGGGAACCAACAGCAATGGTCTCCCTGGAGCGAAGCACATTCACGCTCAGTTGAGCTCTCTCAAGACTTACATGGATACTCTGGGCCGGACCACTTTGACCCTGGAGGTTGACAGTCTGACCGACGAAGCGCGTGACTCTAAGTTGGTGGTATGTACTGATCTGTATTGTGACTTGTTCATCTCACAGTTATGCTAACTCGCCATTAGGTCACGTACGATCACTCCATGATCGACGCCCTGCGCAAGCCTTTCACTATCTTCGCGGGTTTGCTCACAGTCTTTGTCGCTGCCTGGGGCATTGGAAAGATCGATGTCAGCATCAAGAAGCGGTGAGCTGCGTGAAATGGGTTCATATGAATACATTTTTGTCACTTTTCTATAGGCGTGTCCAAGAGATTTCACCAATCGACTTGTATGTTTACAATATTTTCAGTTTCCCAGCTTGCCGTCTTCCAAGGTTACTCCCAAGTCCATGTAATCTTCAAGTCTGAGTTGCTCCTTCTTCTGGGACGTACCTTCCTACTTGGATACATGTATGCACGATCAGATCGTAAACGTAAACAAACATCCGTGTCGACTCAGGTGTCTATGTACTCATTCTACTCTTCTTCCCCCCATCCCTCGTCCTTTTCCTCACTCTCGCGTTTCATCGTCTTCAGCCATGCTTCAAATCAAGCAGTCGCCGGACAAACCCCGTCCACCCCCCGTCGATGACAACACCACCCAAGACTCCCCATCCAAGATAAACCTGTCTTCTCCCCGCAACCCCCTCGGTCCAGTGGTGGTATTCATCGCCCGAGCCTCAAACCTGAAGGACCACAACTACCCGAAAGCCGAAATGGACAGCAATCAAATGCACGAATACCTCCGCTCACTGCTGATAATCACCGTCGCCGAGCACCGCAAGCGATTCGGTCTCCTGGGTCTCCGTCCCCACAAGATGCAGACAATCATCCAACCCGCCCACAGCCGGGTCTCATCCATCAGCCGAGTCGGCAAGTACCTGGGAATGGCTCTCGAGGAAGCCCGCGCATCCAAGGCTGAGTGCATCTTCGTCCTGCACGGCTGGGATGGCTGGACAACCGACAAGATGACCATCACTGAACTATGCGAGCAATTCCGCGACGTCCCTTTCTCCTTCCACGTTTATGCGAATCGGGGTACGCCTCGTGAGTTCTTCGAGGTCAACGCCCACAAGGTGAATGCGTACTTCAGACACATGGTTACTCTGGATGATCCGGCTATTGTGGGCGATCGTTCGACAGCACTTTACATTCGCATCCTGGAGGCTCTGCCTACTTTGCAATATGCCAAGTATTACCCTGTTCTTACGGAGGCGGAAAGGAGTACTCTTTCCAAGTACGATAAGCGCTTTGCTGGGATTTACTACGAGGACGAACTCGAGGTTCCAAAGCCTGAAGTCGCAGAGTCCGATGCTCCAAAGCCCGGCGTTTGACATGGCATTGGTAAGTACGAATAGTAATACCAGGGTTGGATCTTTACCGATGGATCTTAACTTTATCTTTCTTGTGTAGCTTGATATTTTCCAGAGGGATCTAGGAAGCGTGACAGCGATTCATGGAAGCGAGACTGGAGAGGCCCTGGGCCGTTAACGAGTCGGAGACTATCAATTGAGCAAGCAGCTCAATCAATATGAAATCTTTCATCAAACTGTTCACGGCACACCATAACTTCTATAGCGGTCATCGGGTTGTAAGTAATCGCCGACTGTGTATTGAGCCCTTGTGAGAATCTTTGCGGTACACCTAAATATGTACCTACCTACTGAAAATGTGTCACCTTGACAGCTGAACACCTGCATAGGTAAGGGAAAATTGGGATGGTTTAGTACTTATGATCCCGCATAACATTGCATAACATCATTCTAGTCAATGACCTGGGGCGAGCAGTAGCCTGTAGTTAATATTATTATTTGCTGAGCTACCGGGACTTTATCTTTCCTGGAATAGCAATGCTCTAGAGCTGGCACTGATATCACAAGGGAAGGGGTGTTCATTAGCAGATACATATGATGATCAACTGACAGATGTGGTTTAGATCATGGTGGACAGTCCGGTGCGGACCTTAAAAGGCAGTACCAACTATTCGATAGGGCGATGGCAGAGCCCGTAGCTACAGTGCCCGAGCAAATAAGAATACACAGGCAAAGGAGGACCTGTCTTTTGGGGTAACCATCATACGGATCCCGCAAGCAGATCGCTCAAGATGCCCCGTAAATGCTCCCCGCCGAGCAATGATATATGGTCCTCGCCCGCATATTCCTTATAAACGCTCTTGGGCAAACGACGGGCAAGGTGCAAGCCCATTTGTGGTGGCGTGTTGACCTCCGCACCGCCGTACCAGAGCATCACGCCCTCATACCCAACGTCCTCAATGTGGAAGCCCCAGGGTCGTGTGAGGAGGTGCATATCGTTGACATGTGCATCGATGCCCTGGGCATAGTATTGCCTGAAGACGCGTACGGCGCTCTGCATAGCATCTGTCTCCATGTAGGCGTCGGCCTGCATGGCATCCATGTACGGGAGCAAGTCCTGGCGAAAGCGGTTTGCCATGGCCATCGGGTCTGGGTCGCGGGCCAGCGGCACATATATGTCGCGCGTGGTCTGGAGAAGGCGTGTCGGCCAGTACTTCATCATATCCATCTGGAAAATGATCTTAAGGGGCTGACCTCGACGACCGGCGTCCTAGGGAGCGACGTCTACGCAGATGCCTACGCCACGCGCTTGCTCGCGGGGCAGCATTTTAGCGCACGCGAGGGTATACGATGAGCCGCCGCTGACGCCAAAAATGTAAGATTGGTCCAAGCCCAGGTGATTGACCAGCTGCCGGATATCGTCACAGTAGCTCTGGATGGATCGTCCGGACTGAAGGGTGCTTTTGCCCACACCAGGGCGATCGGGAGCGATCCACCGAATGCCCAATTCTTTGGCTATGGAATCCTCTTTGCCTTGGAGCGTAACGCCCGCGTCGGCAACGCCGTGGAGATAGAAGACGGGGATACCGTCAGGGGTGCCGTATAGATGGAAGCCGAGTGTCCGGCCATCAGCAAGCGTGAGTGACTCACCCTCACACTGATTGACGTGCTTTTCAGGAGGCGTTGATACTCCAGAGCTGTGACAGCGAACAGTTGCACGTGGCTAGGGAAGTACACCATGGTACACGAAACGGGTCGGAGGCCGGGGCGTTGTCAAGACGAAGCCGCAACTGCTAGCCGAACCCCAACGGACAAATGGGATAACGGTCATCGTTGACAGCTTGTGACGGAAATTAACTAACTAACTAGTTACATGTAACTAGAATTCCCGGACCCGTCCACGGACCAGAGTCCTGCTTATGTGAGCGATTTACTGTCCCGAGGTCCTGAGGTCAACCTTTAAGCGTTGAGATGTAATTGTACAGAATAGTAAGATATTGTGGCCACGACGCAGAACAAGAAAAAAAAGCAGACTACCTAGTGCCATCCATTGACCGTGCCCGTCCCAGCAAGAAGTTCATCAAGCCCATCTTTTCGGCTCTTGTACAAATCCTGAGCCTCTCGCTCACGCCGCATAACAAATGACACTGCTTCGCGGAGTCTCTCAAGTCGTCGGGACAGAGCCGACTCCTCAGAGATCTGGAGTGTACGGAAAGCGTCCAGCTCATTCATAGCGGCGGGCAAAGCAGCACCAGCCTCCATGATCTTCGACCGCAGCGTCTTGGCACGGTTCTGGTATCCGCCGTAGTGCAAAGAGAGCTTCTTCTCAAGCTTGTTTCCACGCTCGGCGGTAGCAAATAGGGATGTTTGAACAGTGTCGAAGGCCGCAATCATGCGTTGTTCTTCTTGGAAGGGGTCCTGCTCGTCATCCTCGTAATTTTCAAGACCAGGCAGAGACTTGGCGTGAGCTGACGACCAGCCGTCGTCGAATTTCTCTTGCCATTCCGACTGCTGTGCTTCCGTGGAAGCAATCTCAGCGGCAATAGAAGCCCGTGCTGCATCCAGGAACCGGTCGTCCAATTGACTTAACTTTGGTGCTTGGCCCTTGACCTGCGCGTCGGGGACGGGGAATTTATTAGAGTCATGTGCAATCAGCACAGCGGCTTCGTTGGCAATCAGGCATTCGATGGTGTCGGTGACCTGGGAGGCACGTTGCAACAAAGTGTCTAGATCGAGAACAGCGGGACGAGGGAGGCCTCGTTGGTAAACCTGTGATTGACGCTTGAATTCAGCCTTGGCGGCCTTCTCCCGTGCCTCGTTGTTACGGCGATCACGCTCAGCCGCATCCTCTTCGCTGATCTCCATAGTGGTGGGCTCGGCGGACTCATCCGGAATATCAAAGTCATACTCGATTTCCTTGGGCTTAGGAAGTGAGGCCAGCTTGCTGCGCATCTGTTGGCGAGTGAAGTTCTCGTGCATTTTAATGTCTCTAGGTGTGCTGCCAATGAGGTGGCCACCATCTCCCTCCCGGTTCAGAGCTAAATGGTCACGCGGGGTGCGCAATGGCGTAGCGCCCGGCCCAACACCACCATGCATAGGTGTTGCACCGCGGAATGGCGTGGCCATGGGGTTGGGAGTGACAATCGCTTGCCGCCGAGGAGCAATCCCGTCAAATCCAGTTGATGAGCTGCCCTCATGGAGGGGTGTGTTATCTCCTCCCAGGAGGGAAGACTGAGTTTCAGTCAAAGCACGAATGTTCTTGATTTCGTTGGCGATGCGATCCTCCTCCGGGGCAGCTCGCGGGGTTCTGATAGGAGTTCCTCCAACAATAGTCGAGTAATTTCCAACAAGTTCCCGAGTGACTGTTTCATCGTCGTTCATTCGACTAGCTTTATCCCCAGCCATTCCCATCTTGATAATATCTTCCATTTCACTTTCGCTGACTTGCGGTGCCGGCAAGTTCAAACCCCGTCGCTTGCTGCTCTGTTCAGCCTCCCGAATCTTCTGCATTTGACCTGCTCGTGCAGCTGCAGCGGAGGCGGCCGTAGCGCTGCTTTTATCGTTTTTGCGCTTCTTGCGCTCCGCATCATCCTCTTGGTCACCCTTCCTCTTATTTGCAAGCTGCTGCTTCCGAGGATCGAATGCTTCGCGTTGGCGTTCATTCTGATCTTTCTCTTCCATTGTATCGTAGAATCCAGGAGCAGCTGGCTTTTCGAATGGAATGTCTGCATTGTAATCCATCTGACCGGGCTTCCGCGTGACAACCTTGACGTTGATACCGGCATGCTTGAGTTCGCGACGCTTCTGGAGGACGGCCAGTCGACGCGACTCTTCTAATTGACGCTCTCGGGCCTTTCGCTTGGCCTTTTTACCCTGTGTATTGGCGAGACGAGCACGCGCTTCGCTCAGCATTTCTTTTTCATCTTCATCCAGATCGATAGTGTCGGGACGGGCAGGCTTGGATTCAGGGTCGGGATCGAGTTCACCGGGTCTAAAAGGTATCAGCGACACGAACATCATGGCCTTTAGTAAAATGTACGTACCGTAGGCGCCGGACATCGTCCGCACTGGGGGCGGCGCTCTCCTCGCCAGGTCCTCCCAGACCGAGCTCATCATTTTCGCGAGCTTCAGCCTCGTCCAAAAGTTTTTGATAGCGTTCAAGACATTGTGTGGCAGTGCGCCCAACGATGGGAGCAATTGTGCGCCATTGCGTGGGCATCAACTTCGCAAGGTGGAGCAGTTTCTCGTCCTCTTCCCGCGACCACTCGACCTTGCGAATACCCGGGTCCAACCATTCAATCCAGCGCGCCTTGCATTGCTTTGGCGTCTTCCGTGCGAGCAGTGAGGAGACTCGAGCCCACTGGTTGAGACCATATTTGGATACCTGCGATCGAGTCAGTTTTTGCCGCATCAAACGTTAGCTAGGGAGGTTCCCAGTGAGTCGTAAATAACGTACAGCTGCCCGAAGCACTTCATCCTCAATGTTGGTCCTAAAGATATGTTAGCGACGAAAGCTCGTGGGCAGGTGCCAACGGTGGCACTTACCAGACACCTCCTTTGACGACAGGCATGGCGTGCGATCGCGCTAAGCGCAGTGTCAAACCTTCGAAAGCGATAGTAAAAGATCAAGGGTGCCACCAGAAAGATGGAATATGACAACCCACTGGCGTATACGGAGTTCACGCGCCGTAAAGTGATGACAGCTTGAAGCGGAAGAAAAGCGAGTTCGCAGCCAAGCGCGGTAAACGTGGTAGCCGCGATCACCGCCCCCGCGTGTGCTGAGATAAGCAGACCCAGAAATTTTTGGGACCAGAAAAAAAGATAAGCCAATATTTTCATACTATCAACGCCGGCTGTCTGTCTCTGTTGTTTTCCACAATGTCGACTTCCGTGGACGCCCCGAAGCAATTCAAGCAACCTTCCCGTAAGGGCAAGAAGGCGTGGCGCAAGAATGTCGATATCACCGAGATACAGGAGGGTTTGCGCGATCTGAAGGACGCGGAGATCACAGGGTATGTCTACCTCTGCTCCCTTTTTCCTGGCTATTTTGTGAATTGAGATTCTAACTATATTTTCTCCGTAGTGGTCTTATCTCCGAAAAGCCTTCCGATCAGCTTTTCGTTCTCGATACTGTCGGTGATGAAGACGTGCGCAAGTCTATCGCCAAAAAGCAAAAGAAGCCCCTCAAGTCAGACGAGATCCTTGCTCAGCGGTCAATGATTCCCGCCCTGGACGGTCGGAAGCGTGGAAACCCGAACGTGACCGACGGAGTCATTGAGCCGAAGACGAAGAAGCCCAAGAGCGACTGGGTTAGCCGTAAGGAATATCTCCGCCTGAAGCAAGTGGCGAAGGAGGGAAACCCTCTGGGCAAGAAGACCGGAAATGAGTTCTACGATCCGTGGGCGGAAGATACTGAACCCTCGCTGACGTACGACGACCCCCGCTTTGATTTCCTGCAGAAGCCCAAGCCCAAGGTTGAGCCGGTCACATTAAAACACGCCCCGATCTCGCTTGCTGCCAATGGAAAGCCCATCCCCTCTGTTAAGATGCCGCATGCCGGAACCAGTTACAACCCTGTGTTCGAAGAATGGGACAAACTATTGGAGACACATGGTGCCAAGGCGGTTGAGGCCGAGAAGCTGCGGTTGGCGGAAGAGGCCAAGGAAGCTGAGAAGCAGCGTTTGATCGAGGAAGCCAAGAACGACGACGGTGAGGTGAAATCAGATGATGAGAGTGCCTGGGAGGGCTTCGAAAGCGAGTATGAGAAGTCCGAGTGGCTGAACAAAAAGCGCCCCGAGCGGAAGACCAAGACACAGCGCAACAAGGCCAACCGACGCAAAGCAGCAGAGAGGCAAGCGAAGTGGGAGGCAGCGCGGGTAAAGAGAGATGCGCAGGCCGAGCATATTCTCAAGATCACCGAGCAAGTCAAGCAACGGGAGCTCGAGCGCGAGAATCAGTCGGATGCAGATGATTCTGAAGAAGGTGATGATACTGCCCTCCGCAGGAAGACCTTCGGTGGCAAGAAAGCGTACGTTTTTGTTCATTCTCCTATACCTACCTTGCGACTAACACAAGTCATTTTAGTGTACCCGAGCAGCCGTTGGAGCTGGTGCTTCCTGATGAGCTGCAGGATTCTCTACGACTCCTGAAGCCGGAAGGCAATCTCTTAGATGATCGATTCCGAACATTGATCGTTCAGGGTAAGCTCGAGTCTCGTACACCAATTACGCAGGCACGCAAGGCCAGACGACAGATTACGGAGAAGTGGACTGCGAAGGATTTCAGGACTGGGTACGAGTGATTCTGCATATTTCCTCTAAAAGCGCGTGCATTTTGTTATCTGGACATATAATGTGGTCCTAAGTTAGATGAGTTAGGATCAGGTTTCATATCAATATTTTTCGAGCACTTAAGTAAATCGAAGTAAACTAAACACTCCATTGGTATTGATGTTATATATACATGTATAAACTGTAGATAGCCCTGTACTGACCATATAGCGTTGGTATAAAGTCGCTACCTGGTCAACTATCAACCCCAAAATAAAAGTGGGTCCCGAAAATTTACTTGCTTATCGTCTTTTTTATCTTTGCATCTTCTCTCTCACCAACAGACACAGAATGGACAAGACAGCACTTTCCAGTAATTGGAAGAAGTTGCAGGCGACATTGCAGAAGGATTCTACTGTCAAGCGCAAGCCCTCCGACCGCGGGTCTGGAGATGGCATTGTGAAGAAACGGAAGTTGACAGAGAAGCAAAAGCCATATAACCAAGACGCCAAACCAACCAAGCGCAAGAGAATGACCGATAAGAAAGAAAATGGCGATTCAGCGGATGCACCAGCTCCAAAGATCGAGACGAGTTCGCGTCACAAGGAAAATGAAGGCCGTTCACCAACGTAAGTTCTAGATCACAGATCGCACAGCCATACTATTTGGACTATCTTTTCGCTATCAGCTACTAATATCGAGCTCCAGCGCCGAACTAGGAAAATATGTCGCAATGGATTGTGAAATGGTGGGCGTTGGACCAAACCCCGACAGTGACTCTGCACTTGCCCGCGTCAGTATCGTGAACTACAACGGCGACCAAGTATACGATTCGTACGTGCGCCCGAAGGAGATGGTCACAGACTGGCGCACGCACGTGAGCGGGATTGCCCCCAAGCACATGGTGGAGGCACGAAGCCTTGAGCATGTCCAAAAAGAAATTGCAGATATCATGAAGGACCGGATTCTCGTCGGTCATGCCGTCAGCAATGATTTGGATGCACTCCTTCTCGGCCATCCCAAGCGCGACATCCGAGACACAAGCAAGCACGCGCCATATCGGAGGATCGCAGGCGGTGGATCACCACGTTTGAAGATTTTGGCTGAGGAGTTTTTGGGAATCAAGATCCAGGAGGGAGCGCATTCTAGTGTGGAAGATGCTCGGGCTACGATGGCTTTGTATCGTCGGGAGAAGGATGCGTTTGAGCGGGAGCATTTGAAGAAATGGCCTGCTCGGATGATCGTCGACAACAGGGAGAAGGGCGACCAGAAAAAGAAGAAGAAGAAGAAGACCACACGCAAGCGCTGATGTGATTGAATGTTCGATATAGCTTTCGAAGAGACATGCTTAAATACTCTGTACATGTATACCCCGATCATTGCCAATTGAATTGTTTTGCATTTCGAGAATTTAGACAGTTCTAATTTGTTTCAGCGAGTTCAAATGCATTGAAACATCTATAATATACTTGTAGAGATAGCTAAGTAAATATTTGTAGTCGATCCCTCGAATTTCCACTTAACGCGGAGAACGGGGAGAACGCGTCGCGCCTCACCCTCCGATCTTTTGCAAGAATCATCGGAACCACCCAGACCGCAGAACCCAGGCAATCAATACCTCTCCAATTCCATATTTCAACGACCTAAGAACAAACTTCAGCCAATTAATCCCAGCAAATAGCCTGCATTACACCATTACTGCCCTGCTAGTCAGACTAGAATATCCGTCTGCGAAGAGCAACCAACACAATGCCCGACATGTACACCATCCAGCCCTGCTCAAAAGCGAGCTCAAAATCCGAAAAGAATGACCCGACTCTGCAATGCATACCAAATATCATTCCATGCCGGATTCACCACGATGGACCAATTGACTCGTTGGATCGGTATTGGACAGTGAAACAGGAAAAAGGCATGCAAGACAGCCAGCACTGGCTGGAGGAAGTCCAACAGGACCAATTACAAGCGGAAACTAACATCATCTCTTTTATATCCAGATAATACACAAACGGTGCATTTCCGCGGACGTAAACTTCGAGGTCGGCGCGTCGCCCTTCCTGATGGCTATCAAGGTACAAGAGAACGTCCAAATGACCTCTAGAAATGTACAAACGGTAATTGAATCATAATTGACTGACTATATACCATTGAAAAATACATAGGTCTAGTCGCGACACCCACAGACCGTGTGTTACCCGCAGCTCAACGGGTAGACAGTGACCGCGCTGAGGATGCAGAGGCTGAGCCCGAGGAACCAGTGAAGATTATGGAGACCCAGGGGATCTTTGATGAGTTTGTGGTATGGGGGCATGAGACTCTTCCTGCGGCGGATGACACTTTTGTGAAGGGAGTGGAAGAGTGGCTGCAGTTTGCGGACGCGGTATGGTTGATTCCCCTCCAATCATGGTCTATCTACTGCTTTTTTACCTTGATTCTCTTCTGACTGTCTATTAGATGCATACAACCCCCACATCGGGCACGAATGGAAAGGAGTCTGCTGCTGCTTGAGGAGGTGAAAGCTTATTGGGTTAGAATAGAGCCGACGGAGGGCTTTTTGTGGATTTTAGGCCGTATACCAATGCATCTGATATCATAATTCTGTGATATACACTTAGTATTGCTTGAAACAGATCTCCTTATATCAAATAAGAACAATGTGATGAAGGCTTGAGAGTAATTGTTTTTGGTTTACTACGTTCAATGGATACATTTAGGGCTTAATGTATCAGAGTATCAAAGCAACTCTACAGTATTATGATAATTTCTAAAACGAGATGAATTATCGAGGCATTGCAACATAATCCATCATGCATCAGCCATCTCATAGATCTACACCAAAACGATAAGCCTGACCGCCCCACCCGATAAAGCTGAGTCCAGCAAAACATCTTGAACTTCCCTACATCCCACCACCATTGAGAGGCTTCCCTACATCTCACCACCATTGAGAGGCTTCCAAACATGGCCGACACCCCAGACACCGACAAGCTCGCCCCAGAGGCACTAATTACCAAATTCCAAGTGAGCAAGCTCCTCAAACAAGGTCCGACTCATCCACCCCACCTCCCCGCAACAATCAATAAACTAAAAGAAAAACCACCCCTCCAGACCAAAATGGCCGACGAATCGCCCTCCTAGGCACAATCGACAACACACAAGGCATCCTAATAGCGGAGCGTGCCGCATTCGCAACCGAATCCCTGGCCGTGCTGCAAGCCTTCCACGCCGCAATCTCCCGAATCGACAACCTAGGCGACAACGACATCTACCGCTGGTACCTTGCCTCCTCAAGCGGCAACACCACGGACCCAACACCAGCTGAAGCCGCCGCGCAGCGCCATCAAGACCTCAAACTCAATCTCATCTGGCCATGCACAGCACAGCACATTAAGAAGTACTCCGACCAGCAGCTGCGCATGGTAACCGAGACGGCGCAGATATACCGCACGCACGTGAGGCCGTACATGCAAGCGAAGCGCGAGGAAGGACGGCTGAACTGGGTGTTTAATATCCTCGAAGGCAGGACTGAGCAGGAGGATGTGATTATGCGGGATGAGGGACACGGGCCTGAAGATGGGTTTTTGATGTTGCCTGATTTGAATTGGGATCGGAAGAGTATGGGGTCGTTGCATTTGTTGGCTTTGGTGCAGAGGAGGGATATTTGGAGTTTGAGGGATCTTAAGAAGAGTTTTGTGCCTTGGTTGAAGTATTTGAGGGATAGGGTGCTCGAGGCTACGGTTTCTATGTATCCTTTGGAGGAGGATCAGATTAAGCTTTATGTTCATTGTGAGTTACTGTTTGCGATTGAACTGCGCTGCGTTGTGTTATATTGGGGGTTTTCGCTGACTTTGGATCTCGCAGATCAACCGACTTACTACCATTTCCATATCCATGTTGTCAATGTTATGCTCGAAGCTGGTGCAACGCAGGCAACGGGTAAGGCATTTGGACTCGAGAACTTGATCTCGCAGCTTGAGAGTATGTCTGGAGATGGGGATGCTAGTCTGGCTGATGTTGATTTGACATACTTCCTGGGCGAGGCCAGTGAGCTGTGGACGGAGATTTTCGAGCCGTTGAAGCAGGGAAAGCAGCCTAGTCAATAGAAGGTAGTTGTTGAGGTCATCTCAGATACATATTGGCCAAAAGTCCTAATGACGGATCAAATACAAACCATTCCATTATTCAGGACTGCAACGTTGTACATCTCGACTCTCGTCCTTACTAGAAAGCATTACATTATACAAACCACAAAAAAGCGAAACGATTAATGATAATAAGATATTAGTATTTAATATATACATATTTCTAAGTCATATCTACATATACGTCAATTATACATGTTCCCTCGCATGCCTCTCCGTTGAAGTCTGCGTAACCTCAAACGTGCGATGAATCCCCAACCCCATGTCGCCTTGCATCTGCAACCGAGGCGATGGCCGATCGACAGTCAACCTCTCCTCGCTGCTACTCGGGCTCGGAACGACATAGGTATCATCAGCATCTCTCTGGCTCTGGATAGTAGTGACAGTGACAGCAAGCTTATCCGGTCTCAAGCGAGACTGCCCGCTTTCATCAAGTGAGCCTAAAGGAAAAGGTCGGTTTTCACCTCCGCCCAACTGGCGCGAGGCAGACCGTGAGCGCCCGGCGGGAAATCCAGAGGAATAGTATGGTTCTGAGTGAGAGCCCGTCCAGATGCGGAGCAGGGGCCGGAGGGTTGCAAGACTACCGGCAGTGATGCCGAGGCCTGCTTCGATGTTGGACCAGATGGCAATCTGGTATGTTGCGTCTAGAATGAGGGGGGTGTTCGGTTAGTTTCGTTCGTGTTTTGGTCTATCTTTCCGGGAGAATAGGAACGTACAGAGGAAATCGGGGTCATAGAATGTTGAGACGAAGGGGAGGCGGACGATAACCGCCGATGAAGCACTATGGAATCTCTTGTCAGTGAACTGGAACTAGTATGGAAATCCGAAATGGAAACATACATGCAAGCCATGCTTAAGATGCCCATGACGGCGATCTTGGTCTTGCGCTTCATGTGAAGTTTGTGGACGAGGAAGATGGGCAATATGCCGACGGTGAAATCACACAGTGCGGCAAATGCACTGTAAATGTAGGTCATGATCACGATGATCTTCATATCCATACATGTGCCTATGATATTAGGGTCGAAGGCCAGCCTCGTCCAGAAGTATTCCAGTGGCCTGCACTGGAGGAGCATGAGGAACATGAAGACCAGACCTGCAATAACGGTCAAGACCATGACGCTATAGAGGAGCCAGATGTGGAGGGGTTTGATAGTGATGCGCATCAGGAATATGCAGATGGAGATCTTGCATCCAACCGAGGCAAAGCAGTAGGCGATCTCACAGAGCCACCAATACTTCATTGCGGTGACACGATTGTGGACACTGAGATTTTCGAGCATATAGCCTGTTCCATAGATTGTGCCTCCGATCATGGTTCCGCAGAACATGGCGTAGAATAGCTGCGGTAGATTGAGTCAGGTCTCTGGGATAACTCCACAGAAAGTTTTCGGAATTGTCTCGGATTGAAGGATTCAAGATTGAACATACCATTGCAATTACCATCGCCCCATCATCCCATCCAAATGCCTTTACGATCCAACCGCGCACATAGATACGCAGCATCACCGTGATAGCGGCAATAGGCAGGAAGACCGCGGCCACGGTCTGAACCGCCGTGCTTCTTACCTGTTCGTCAGTCATAGCGGCAAATGCTTGTCATGTCCGAAGGATTCGAAATGTGGGGGAGAAGGATTCTTAATAAAAACAACCTCCCCGACAGGACCCGCGAAATTTTACAAAATACAGGGGCAAAGAGGACTAGAACGTTTTAGCCATTTTAGCTCTTTTAGCCCTTGGCTGGCCCAGAATGCCTTTTCCAGTCGACCGGAGAAAACAACGCTAAGCCAACGTCGATCTGATCGACGACACGGCTGGACTCATGACATTTTCGGGTATAAATGGGTCGACTAAGAGCCGCCAGATTTTCACTCCCCATAGAGCTATACGAATATAGATTGCGATATTAACTACGGAGGAGCAATATATGCGCATGTATCAGAACTGCCGAGCCTGACGTATGGGAGTTAGCGTCTGGAGTGCCGAGGAAACGGACGGACTTTTCTTCACAAGGAATTCCGCTAGGTTTCAGTACTACTAGCTTGGCTAGGGCTCGGCAGGGGGTTTGCGAGAGCTACCATGTCGTTGGGTCTAAGTACTTTGTACAACATACGGTGTGGCTTCGTTTAGCCTGGCCTCGTTCCCAGTTTTCTGCAAGCTCCGAAATTGACATGGGGGCAACGGGAAGTCAATGTGCCAATCCAATCACTAGCGGTGGAACAATGTGCTCGGAGGGACCGCTTTTTTAAGCAGGCAGAGTGGCGATCCATCAGATTGACGCTAACGGCGTGTACTAGTGCCTCGGAAACAATGGCATTCTTGGTCTCCGTACCCGCTATGTACCGTGTGACTTTGTCATAGTCCTTTGTTTGTCATCTCTCTGGCTAACGGGAAATACTCGGTGTCTCGGTGACTCGGACTCGGTGATTAACATCTCCTATTTTGAAGGGATTAAGGATTGGAAATGATCGAATCCTGACAGCCCTAGGAGTTTAGAACGCAAATCAATTTTAACTATCTGTTTCTATTAATATTGAACTTTACTCAAAGTGGCACGTGCACAGGTCTGGAATTGGTGGCCTGTCTTTTCAGGCTTCCAAGGCAATTTTGGAAAGTTCAACCCGATGCAGATACGGGCATAATATTTGTGTTCATAATATTCTTGTCTTTTCTATGTTGGAGATCTAAAATACAAGGATACTATATCCAAACTATCAAAGCTCAATCGAAGCATCCAAAAACAATTAACTAGTTAACTAAAACGATTAAAGCAATTAATATCCAAGCCCCGGTATCCCTGCAGAAAACGTGGGACCCCGCAATCCTTCAATCCTTCCCCCCTCCCAAACCTCTACCTTATCCCAAAGACATACCCTCACCATCACCATAACCAAACCACAATGGCACACGTCGATGTCCCAGCGACTCAAAAGGCCTTTGTGCCACTAGGTCCGACCTCAACCCCCAAAGCTCCTAAACCCCAAACCCCAAGCTAACCCGCCAACCCCAGAAAACAACCCGGAAGTAATGTCCCACCTAGTCCACCAACTAGGCCTCGCCCCAAACCTAGGCTTCACAGACGTATTCTCGATCGACGAGCCCGACCTACTAGCATTCGTCCCGCGCCCCTCCCAAGCCCTCCTCCTCGTCTTCCCCGTCTCCCAAACCTACGAAGCCTCCCGCGAAGCCGAAGACGCCTCCAAACCAACCTACACCGGCTCCGGGCCCTCCGAGCCCGTAATGTGGTTCAAGCAAACCATCCGGAACGCATGCGGGCTGATCGGGCTGCTGCACGCGGTCTCGAACGGCGAGGCCCGGAGACATGTCATCGCCGGCTCGGATTTGGATACGTTGCTCCGCGAAGCGGAGGGACTGGAGCCCGCGCCGCGCGCGGATCTGCTGTATGATAGTAAGGCGCTGGAAAGTGCGCATGCTGATGCGGCGAAATTGGGGGATACGGCTGCGCCGTTGGCGGAGGATAATGTTGATTTGCATTTTGTTGCTTTTGTTAGGGGGCTTGATGGGACACTTTGGGAGTTGGATGGGAGGAGGAAGGGGCCGTTGGCTAGGGGGGTTTTGAAGGAAGGGGAGGATGCGCTTAGTGAGGCTGCGTTGAAGTTGGGGGTTAGGAGGTTTTTGAAGATGGAGGCGCAAGGTGGGAATCCGGATTTGAGGTTTAGTTTGGTTAGTTTGGGGCCTTTGTTTGATTAGAGTCCACGGGTGGATTGGGGATGAGTTTGCTTTTCGAGCTGTTTCTGTCTAGATCCGGTATTTAGATAGATAATATGTCTTTCTTGAGCTGTGCCTTGAAAGCAATGGGATGTCATTAGGTACATTTAATGATATGTGTTTGTGCCTGCATTCCGCTGAAAGAATAATTGGGATATCCTAGGATGTCACGTATGTATATACTGCCCAGGTATATCTAGCGAATTCGAATATCGCACACATTTTTGCTCTTCAGTCACAATGCCTGCCAACTCTTCAACTGAAAAGGCCAACCCAGTAGCCTATCCCCTCTCGTGGTCCACAATATCAGCAGCAGAAGAAACCACAGAATTGGTATTAGCAGTAACAGCTGTCTTCTCACCAGCCTCCTCGCCAGAAATCAACTGGTCATTTTTCGGGACAGAATTGCCCTGTTTACCAATTGTCAAGAATGGCACCAAAACCAGAGACACTCCGGAAGCCGCAGCCGCAAACCAATAAACCGAGAGGTAAGGCCGAATCGCAGGTGAGGAGGCGGTCATTCGGAGGGCCACCGAGCTTTGCACCGAAGTAGCAATACCGAGGCCCAGGTTGCTGCACAACTTGTTGACGGTGTTGAAGATTCCACCGGCGATAGATTGCTGGGAAGGTGGGAGGGTGGACATTACATACATCTAGATGAAGCTAGTCAATACCCCTAAAGACGGAATATAATGCAAACAAGGAATAGGAAGGACATGGGGGGCTGAGCGTACATTTGTGACGTTGAATTGAATGTCAGCACCAACAACGACAAGAATCAACCCTGGGAAGACAAATGCCCAGTAGCTAGCTTCTTGCTTCATGAAGCTCAGAATAAGGAACGCGGCTGTATAGGCCAGTGCTCCGATTCCGGTTAGTACTTTGTTGCTCACGCGGTGCAGGACAAGACCACAGACGATATTGACCAGCACCCCGCTGACAACCATTGGGAGTAGCTGGACGGTGATCTCAAGGGCAGACAGATGTTTCACGTCTTGAAGGTAGAGAGCGAGGTAGAAGTTGACGGCAGAGAAACCCATAAAGCCAAGGCAGCAAGTTCCGATGAGCTGAGCGGTTAGTTTCGATCTATATTTCCTTGCGAAGTGGGCACACATACAAGAGAGAAGTTGCGATCTCGCCAGACCCAAAGAGGCATCAGAGGGTGTGCAGCAACGGACTGCCAATACAGAAATGCCACGAGAAGGAAAAAGCCCACAATAAACAGAGCAAGGACGTATCCCGTTTTCCAACCATCTGGTGCATCTGCAGCGAGACTATAAAAGTGATCAGCGGGAAGCCCAAGGTGACCAATTCATCAGGGGTAAAGGGAAACATACGAAAGCGAACTCGAAAAGAACGCAAACCCAACAACAACCAACGCCATTCCGAGAATATCAAACTGTTTCAAAGCCTGGACGCTCAAAGGCGTCCTGGCAAACCCATCAGCCGGCACCGTCCATACGGTCAAAACGGTAAAGATAGCATAGACAACAGCGAGAGCCCAAAAAGAAGCGCGCCAGTTATACAAATGCGCCGCCACACCCGAGATAATCATGCCGCCGACAAATCCAAGCGGGTTCCCCGCGCTGAAGCACGCAAAGGCAAGGTTCTTGCGCTTTGAGGGTTTCTCGTAAGTAGCGCCTAGGGCGCCGACGGCGGGTGGGACGACGGCGGCGGCGAATAAGCCCAAAATCCCCGAGAAGACATCCATGTAGATGGCGTTTGTTGCGAAGCCGGCGATGAGTAGAGAGATGGTGAAACCGGCCATACCGATGATGAAGAGTACCCTGCGTCCGAACATGTCGGCTAACTTCCCGAAGGTGAGTAGGAAGGCGCCGCTTGTGAGGCTATTCGGGTTGAGCGCATGGTCAGTGGTTTATGTTGTTTGATATATGTTCCAATGTTGTATGGTGTACATGGAGATAAGAAGAGATCCAAATGATATAAAAGCCGGGGGAAACTCAAATTTAGTAGAAGAGTGTGGGAAGAACGTACGAAGCACCGGCATTGATCCAAGTAATTTCAGCAGAATTCATATGTAGATCCTTGCCAATAGATGCGGTTACCCCCACGATACAGCCCTGGAAGAATGACTGCTGGCCAATGGCCATTGTGGCAGTTAGGACGAAGAGGACTTCTTGGAATGTGCTGGTGAAGCATTTCGGACGCTCCGAACTGTCATTGACTGAACCATTTTCTTGGTCTTTAGCCATTTCCGAAGAATCATACAGAGTAGAAGATTTGTGATGAAAATTTGGGCTGTTCGATGAGGCTGAATTCGGCAGGTTTAGTGGTCACACAGGGGGGTAATCTAAGCGAGAGATGAGTCCCAGGTTTCTGAAAGTATATGTAGTGTAAACAAAGCCATTTTATTATTGCGATTGAGTCACTCGATATCTGTAATTCCGATAAAAACAATTGCATTGTACTTTGTCAGCGCGGCAGGAGTTCCGCGCTGATCGTGAGAATAAGCAGGCGCACGGTGTGGGCCCACAGGACAGCCTCGACGTATATGTATGCATCACTAATCATACCCAACCCACAGGTATCATGACCCCATACACATGAGTGCTGAGTAAAAGGGTAACACCCGCTTGTTGACAGCATTGGAAGTCATCAATGTAAGAAATCAGGCCGAGTCAAAACCCCGATTTGCATACTCATGCACGTTCAAGCATGTCTGCACCCTCTTGCTCCCAAGGTCGACCCAGCACTCACGGGCATTGAACCGGAGGACCTCATTACCAGCAGCCCACCAGCCAGCCGTCAAGTTGCGCGCAAACACCTCGACGGCAGAATACTCCTGGAGTTGACCCGCCTCCGTGAAAAACACATTCTCAAAAATAGATTTCAGGTTCGGCTTACGAGAATGCAAGTCCGGAACCGCAGCGATGACTCGTCTCGTGGTAATGGTCTCACTCATGCGCGTCAGATCATCCATTTGAGGCAGGGTCGGTGCATTGTTCGAGGTACCGTTGATGTCGACATCAAGACTACTCTTGCGGCCAATGACAAGGATCTCATACGGTTTTCGCCAAAGACCATCCAGTGCTGAGATCGCTTGTCCGTCCCATGTGGTCTTGACCCAGATCCATTCCTCACAGATGCAAAAGCCTGCGCCGCTCAAGGCCTCGTATGCTGCTCGCCGGGCCTTTTCGGCATTCGTAATCCATATAGCAGCTATAGACTGTTCGCTTCGGATCGCGGGTCTGGGGTGGGTTTCAGATTGGCGTGGCCCCTGTTTTGTTTTATGGTCGTGCGAGTGTACGCGGAGTATGTCTCGTAGCCCTTCGGTAAGCACATCCATCTCAGAGTAGTGATGTGTTTGGTAGTGCCTGCTGCGTCGCACGGATTTGTTTGGCCAGGGCGGGTCCATGAGGATGAGATTGAACTTCTGGTGCTGGGGGAGCCCAGGGATGGGATAGTTATTGGATGTAGAAGGACAGTCGACTTCGTTTTTAAATAGAGGCAGTGTACAAAGCACAAAGCTCGACTCGGGTGGGACCATATATTCACACGGAGGAGAATTCGTTTCATCACGGTGCCAGCGTTTAACCCTGAGGATTGCGGGCTCTGGTGATGGATTCTTGACAATGGCAAGATCTGATAAAGCCTCGAAATCATTCAGCGAGGTAGTCGATAGAATAATTGGTGGTTCATTTTTAGTCGAATCATGGTCATCCGGCGCAGACTCTAAGCACGTATAATCGTTTCCCCTCCGCCGCTTCCGTGGATGCTGGTTCGGCGCTGTGCTGTCATGGGGTTCACTAGGCACAGCTCGAGCCTCACACCATGGACGATCATGGGAAAACCCGGCCCTGATAGTCTCGAGAGAATCCCTCACGAGTGGCAGTATCAGTTCCGAGTGGAACCGCCTCTCGGAGATAGGAATGGTGTCGAGGACCTTGGCGAGAGCAGCTGGCCTTTTCGGCTCGGTAGAGGGGAATGGCTCTTTTATAGGTGAGCATGAAAGCAGGTTCCGTATATTCCTGTGTGTGTTCTTTTCTGTTCCTGGCGTTGATTCTGGGGCTGGTTGCTGTGGTGTTGGCCTCCCTTCCTGCGCCAGCGCAATTGAATGCGGGATGTCGAGTAGGTATATATTTTCATCCTGGAACAGAATCGCAGTCTCCTCCTGTGTAGTGTAGCTCATCCCGGACCTTGTCTTTCCCTTGCTGGTGATGGTGAAAATGAGCGATGGATTGCGCCGGGTAGTTGTGGAGGCTTCCAAGGTTCAGCTCTCAGCCTCATTAGGTATGAATTCAATATTGGAGGGATTTTGATGATGTTGATTCTTTCAAATTCGACTGGATTCGATATATTTACATTCATTACGATATAGTATCTTTTCACATCTGCATCAATTCACTATGCTCCACTAGGCAGCCAACATCTCGATCTTAAAACAATAGACAGAAGAGAAAAGTCCTGTCGTAAGATCACAAGATACAAGGTCATTCAAAAACGCTGAAGATACAAAACTGGGCCTCCACCCAGAAGAGACACAAGACTTTTTCACTACCGATTCCCCATGCAAAGCCAGTTCCTCTCCCTGGCCCAATTTCTCCCCCGCCGGCGGTCCAGCGTCCGATCAGGGCGAAGAGATAGGACAGTGAAATCACAACACGTAGCTAGATAAACCCGCTTGGTCTCCATGAGAAACTTCAAAAATGAGAAAAATAAAGAAGAAAAATAGATGATCAAGAAAATTTATACATGTAGATGGAAGGCAGATCGATTAGAAATCATACGCGAAGATGGGATCAACGCTGGGCACAAGTCAAGCACGTTAGTATTGCCGCATTACACGGTTTAGGGCCGATCCGAGAATGAACTCACCCGTCCACGCCGGCCTCCGCCCGGCTGCCCCTGCACAGGCTGAGCCTGGGGGTAGTATTGCGGAGGGTATTGATACATCTGGGCAGGGTTGACAACGGGGCTGAACTGTTGGTAGTTGTTCTGGGCAAGCATCGGGTTGGGACTCATCTGGCCCGGTCCGGAGGGCAGCGGGGAAGCCTGCTGCGGCTGCAGAGATCGCAGGTTATCCACAGCAGGCGAACCAGCTGGGTAGCCGTAGTTGGCGCCCGGCATGCCAGGATAGCCCGTGGAAACGCCACGAGCCTGTGCGGCGAGGAAGGCTTGGTACTGCAGCTGTTGCTGGCTCAGGGATTCCTGGCTGTATCCACCTGCACCGGCAAGACCGTTCAGGTGGTGTCCGAGACTGTTGGTCGAGTATGGATCAAGCGGCGGGGGATTGGTCTGGTCGGCGGAGATGGGACGATTGTCGGGGTTCTGCCCAAACGTGCTCGGAGTAAACTGCCCATTGTACTGTCTGTCCATGGACGGCTGGGCTGGATAACCTGTGCTTCCGTGGCGAGAGGATTGGCGGTGTTGGGACTTCTCCGGGGTAGAGTGCTCACGTCCATGGTGATGCTCCCGACCGCTACCTCGTGAGGAGAGGCCCACTTCATCCATCAGACGCTTATAGCCTTGGCTCGGGGAAGCTTTCAGCTTTGTGAGAACCTTGGACACGTTCTTCACGACTTCAGTCCGCATAGACTCGTCAAAGAACGGGGTGGTCAAGACCTTGAAGATCAGAGTCGCGCCAGATGTCTGGTCGCTCAGGATCTTCTCCAAAACTTCATCGCCTGGACTGAAGAAGAGTGCCTTTAGAACAATGTCTCGAGCATCCGGCTCGTTGCGCTGGTTGATCACCTTGAGAACAGTCAGGTAGGCGACCTTGTGGGTACAGAGGTGAACAAGGTGAGGTACGAGTCTCGGGGCCAACACTGTTCGGCGGCGAGGGAATGTGCACGTATCAAGGAACCAAGTGAGCAAAAGAGCTCCGTTGGCATTAGTAGCCAACTGCACACTGTGGAGAGCGATAGCAGATGCAAGCATCCGCTGCTGATCCTTGGTGGCATGGTGACTTTCGAGACAAGCCCGCATCGCTCGGGCGCCGAAACGTCCCTGGGCGATTTCCCACATTCGGCTGAGCATAGACTCGAATATAAAGCTGTTGAAGGGGCTGGCAAATCGCAGGCAGCACTGCAAGACATAGTTTCCATACTGATCCAAGAAGAGAGGAACAGTGTAAGGGCGAAGAGCATCAACAATCAACTGCATCTGTGCTGGAGTCTTTGCAACATCAATGATCTTCTGCGCAGCCCAAGTTCCATTCTTGTGAACACCAATTTCGGAGAGATGGGGTGCAATGTGAGTCAGCATCTGCTCCTTGGTGGATTCAGAGCAGAATTCAAACAGTTTCTGGACCACGGTGTTGCCCAAATAATCGGACGCTAGCTCTGCAATCTCAGGAAGCATTGCCTCGGCAGTCTCTTCAATCTCTTGGATCGAGCATGCACCATTGTCAATACGCTTCCGGATGTCACGGAGACGGGGGGCGTCGAACATCCGGGACTGGCTCGTTTCCTGGACCGAGGGGATTTCATCCTCGAAATCTTTGAACTCGATGGAAGTCTGGATGCTGGCCGTAATGTTCTTCAAGTCATCTTCACTTGCGCCGAATTCTTGCACTATTTGCACCATCTCAGGCAACAGGTCAGCCAGAGCGGGAATCTGAGGGATAATGTTAGCGTTATCCGCTCGATCCGCTCCATCTGCCGCTGCAAGATTTGATCTGAAGTTTTGGTCAGGAGTGGGAGATGACTGTATGCCATTTGCACCAGGGGTACCTGTGGCCGATGCACCAGGAACCTTGGCATAACCAATTCTAACGGGGCCTGCGCCTGGGAAAATCTCCTTGCCATTGAGCAGCGACTTGGCTTGCACAGCGCTGTCAAGGCGATCGAAGTTGACAAATCCGCAGTTCTTGTGAGTTAGAACACGTGTCGACTCGATCTTTCCATACATGCCAAAGATGGCCTCCAGGGACGTGACAGTAGTGGATACGGGGATGCTACCAATCCAGAGTGCCCGGGTAGGCCCATCCTGGTTATTCTCATCTGCCATCTCACCAGCCTGTCGGCCACCCATGGCAGGCATACCGTTACCGCCGAGATGCATCAGCTGAACTGCCTCGGACAATTCGTCATATTCGCCATTCTCGGGGATCAGCAGGTCAGCAGCACTGAAGCTGTTGTCGAGGCGGGAAGGTGTGGCAAGGTAGTTGCGGATTGATGATCGCTGGGGAGGTGCGTCCAAAATGCTGGCAGTTTGCGCCCGGCGTCTGCTGACAGAGGGATGGCTGGCAAAAGCCTGAACATCGAGATTATGCTGGTGAATCTGGGCCCGTGTGGCGGCAAGTTGCGCGGCAGTTGCAGCGGCGGTTGGCGTCATAGTGCCCGAGGGAAGTTGGGAGTAACGGTTCTCATATTCGAGATCCTCATCATCCGCGTATTTCTCCTTAGCATTGACAGAGTAGGACCGGAATCGGTTATTGTTCTTCATCATGGCCAACTCAGCCAGGAGTGGCGGCAGCGCGGAAGCTTGCTGTTGCTGCTGCTGCTGCTGCATTAAAGCTTCCATCGAAGGACGTGAAAGAGAGGCCATTCCCTGTTGAGGGGTCTCAGCGAGCCCCAAGTAATCCAAGGTCTTCACATCGGTATCCGCGAGTCCATCCCTCGAGAAAGAAGAGTGGCTGGGCGAAGTCGGCCCTTCCGAAGATCGAATGCTTGTTAAAGTTGTAGCTCTCTCACGGCCCGTCGACCAGTTGGTTGAAAACAATGATGGGCCGAAGGGGCCGCCACCTCCCAGAAAGTTGCTTCTTTGCGGCATCGAGCCAGCTCGAAGGCGGGATAGCGATGCTGGGTTGGGCACACCAGTTGAACTCGCGACCTTGGAACTTGTATCTATCCCAGAAACACCGGGTGGTCTAAAAGGGCTAGTTGAGGGCGTTGGTCGTGAGGTCTGCGAAAGGTAAGGCTGCTGAAGATCCATCTCATTCAGCGTGCCCATGGGAGGGAAACGAGATGGAACTGTTCCAGCGCGAGCTCGGCGGCCAGGGCTGTCCATGGAGCCATTCGTGGTAGGAATCAAATCGGGAAAGCTGTCTTGACTCGGTGATTCGGGAATATTCTCGCGAAGCGGGGTTGAATGGCCGCTAGTAGGAGGTCCCCAAATACTTGGAGAGATGCCTTCTTGCGCTTGAATTTCACGGGCTCTGCGAGACGAGTCAAGTTGTCAGCCGATTGTCGCAGTTTTGTGTCCCACGGGAAGCAAACCTACCGCTTCGAGTACAGACGCGATGTCAAATCATGAGAAGGGGAGCCAGCCCCTGGCCTCGAACTGCCAATGGACCCCGGAGGTCCGAACGGCATTCTTGGGTTCCCAGACCCGGCCAGATCACTGGGAGAGCTGCGCCCCGTCGAGGTACCGGACATGGGTTGGGTGGTTGGGATATAATTGAAATTCATCTGACCATCAGGTCGCGAAACCGGCAACATTATGGATTATCTCTTTATGCCTTCAGCAAGGCAGTGCCCGAATCTCTTCCAAAGTATGACCTCCGCGCGAATGCCAAAATGGAGCAAGGTCAGAAGTTAAATGTAGCTTCGTTCAAAAGTGTGGGACAGAAATCATGGAATAAGGATAGAGCGAAGGATCGAGGACACACTGGAAATGGAAGTCGAGATTAGTTGGTGTTCCAAATATGTGTTGTTATTGGGGGGCCGCAAAGTGGGAGGGGTCGACAAAGCAATTCCACCAAGCCGAGATTAATCGTGGGGATATTTCATACCGAGACCGATGCTTTCCAAGCGCAAGCACCACTATGCAGTGTCGAGAGTCTTTGATGATAATCTCACCGTTTGCTCCGGGTGTATGACTATCCGCGGGTATCCCGAAACAATCGAGTTGAGGTAAAGGAAAAATAAGACAAATCCTTTTCTATGGTCGTCAAAGGCTCAAAAGCACGAATTCACAAGGATGGTCTGGCACAAAGTGCGTCAAGTGAGAATAAAAGATGGAAAGGATGATCCAGGTCCAAAGGGATCGAGGTGGCTGGAAGTGAGTTAGTGTTGCGCTCCGAGAGTGTCTTCAACACTAACCGAAAGTCGAATTCACCCTAAGAATGCAGAAAGCAAAAGGAAATGAAAGAAAAGTGAGGAAGAAATCAAAGGGAGGATGAGAAGGGGAGAGGAAAAGAAGGAGAAGAGATGTTGGGGAGCTGGCCGGATGCCCGAGGAAGATGGC